GATTTGGTAATGGAATATTCCATAAAAAGGATACTATCCTGCAAGCGTAGCCATGGTTGCCATCTGGCTGATATTTTTTTCCATTTTTAATGGCTCTTTACATTGAAATAAACATCCCATCTGCAATCTCAAATAATGCTAAATTTCTTTGAAGAGCAAATTAAGATCTCTGATGGGAAACCCGTATCTATATTGTGTGTATATATTGTATGTAATATTTGTATATGTGTATGCATTTATGCATGTATTTATGTATGTATGTAGGTATGTTTGTGCCTTTATCCATACCTGCTTTATTATCCGATTATATACAACAAAATTTGTATACTCTTGATGTATAATATATATGTATGTTTTTATATAGCCATATACATATACCACGCAATACTCACATACATATATCTATATCTATATCCATATATATATGTATGTATGTATGTATGACTGTCCATGCATATAACGAAATAAATATATAAATGCATAAACAAATTGTGTATATGTATTGTAACACAGCACAGAAAACAGCTAAAGGTACATACATACATACATATGTCTCTATATGCATGCATAGAATAATCCACATATGTACATACACGCATATATATATATATATATATATATGTATGTATATGCACATTTGAAGGGAGTGTTTGATTGCAATGAATAAAATGTAAATAAATAGAATTATAAACGCGTGAATGATGCATACTTGAATACATAATACATATGTATGCATGTATCTGTGCAGCTGTGTGCTATTGTGACTGTTGTTATGTTAGCGATGATTTCCTGTTGGCATAAAAACCTCAAAATCCACTATCGACAGCAATGTAATAAATTTGTAAAAGCATTGCGGTATCAAATGACGGTGACTATATCAATGGATATACATACATATATTGTATATGTATTTAAGCACATACTCATACATATGTATGTATTAGCATTTTTATATACCAAGTTATCTATATATTCATATATACTTATATTTAAACATAAAACTTTTTTAGTAAATATACATATTTACATATATTTCTCTGATGGCTTGAAGCAATGCATGAGTGCAACACTTAACCCAGCAGCAAATGTTAATGGGCTTGAAAGGGAGTTTGATTAAAATCCAATAAATGAAAACTGCGAGTACAATAAACACGGCGATGGCTTAGCAAAGGTAACAAATCTCTTAAGCTCGCTTCTGCTTATCAAATCTTTTAAACCAAGCGTCGAGCTAGATAACGTTTTGACTGTGACCGAAAGTTTGTTTGGCGACTTTATGCCGAATCTCCTTAGTGAGATCCCTTATGAGCCGATTTCCGTCATCGGCGTGACGAATGATGTAATGCAGCCTTCCAAGAGGAAGCGGACGGCAGCGGAGCGGAAACGTTCACCAGCTGTGATGTCAGTAGAAGTGGAGACAGCACTGAAGCAGTGAAGGCTTGCGACGCGTTTGAGCGCTGGCAGCGCGTACCAATCCCTATGAGTCTTAAGACCTGAGCAGAACTTAAGCTGACACCAACCGTTGTTCTGGTTGCATCTAATGCAAATAGTGGAATGGTGCAGTCGTTTCTAAAGGAGCATCCCAGCTTCGAAGTGTTGCTCCGTTGATTTACTTAAACTAATGTTACCTGCTGACCTAAACAGGGTTAAGTTGCAGAAAGGGTTACAGCCCTTGGTTGGATAAAATGCGGGTCAACTCCGGTGCATTGAACCGAGAGTCGGGAGAGAAGGGAGGGATTTTTAACCCTGCGGGTTAGGGGCTCAAGAACTTACCCGCGGTAAGGCATGCCTGTCGTAAGAGGCGACTAAAATCCAATAGTTCCCGCGACAGTCGGGTCTTTATACCGGAACGACCCGGATTTTGATCCGGCCAAGGACTGTCACTCCCGCAACATTCCCCAAAAAGTACTTTGGGGAATAATTTTGCGGTTACAACAACAACAGAGAAGGGATTTTGTTTTGTCTGGATATTAAGTTAACTTAGTTATTTTGTCTGGTCGGAGTTTTGTTACCGTCGTGTCGGGATTTTTATGTTTTGTCTGGATATTTGATTATCTATTAGAGATATTTCTGACAAATTATAAATATGTACATATATATATATATATACATATGTATTGTCATAAAAATGGAGTTTCAAACTATTGCATATATGTATATATTGGGATCAATACTTCGAAAGCACCCAATTTTTTATAATTATTTAAGAAGAAAAAAAAATTGTAAAGAACCAAAAGTAAGCCAATTTTTTTTAATTTATTTTTTCTACGTTTTACTGCCAAATATGTACGTAAGTGAGTGAGCATTCAGGTTAAATATGATAAGAATAAAAATATGTATGAATAAATAAAACATCAAAAAAATCTAATGCATACATACATATGTACATAGGTGCATTTCTCTTATTATAAGAAAAAATATCATTCAGTGCCAAAATGCCAAAATATGTACACATACTTATGTATATGTATAACTGCGATTCGCTAAAAAAGTTTCAGTTTTGTTTTTGCGAAAAATAGAGCAAATTTAGAGGATAAAAAGATATGCGGAAAATTGTCTAAAAAAAAAATTGTATACCACTTTGATACGCGAGTGCCATTAGCTATACGGAATATATTTCATTTGTTCACAGGAGGGTATACTAAGTACCCTTTATATGCACACAAAAGGTAGCGTAGAAAAAACGCATAGCGATCACTGAAATAAGGCAAACTATGTTGAAATATTGAAAATTTCGTGTCAGCATGCATACAAATAATTTAAGGAAAAATTTATAAATATATATCAAAAAACGTAAATAATTCTCGAAAATATGTACGTACATACATATCTGCTGACTTATAAAAGTTCGGTTTCGCACGAATTTAACTCTTCATTACTGTTTTTTTTTCTCTCTTTACTTGTTATGCACTGGAAATTTGGCTTTTGCTCAATTCGAATTGGCAGGGAAAAATTGTAACGGAGATTATGCCAACTTGGATTTTGTCACACTTTCATACCTTCTGAAGGCTTACCTTTTCATCGTAAATAAGCTTATGTAAGTACAAGCATACGTGCCTGCGTACTAAAAGCTTAATAGTATGTATTGTGTAATGGTCACAATCGTCCAAAAAACGCTTCAGCGTTTGCCAATGGTATACACATACGAAAGCAATGAAAATCATTTGGACTTTGCCTGTCAACATGAAGAACTTCAAAAGGCAACTGTGATCTGTTAACTGACGTTCAGTGTCTATGGAGTTTATGGAGAGAACACTCCTCCAGTGGTATTTAAGAAAATACTGAAAATCGATGAAGATGGTATAAATGAAATCTGCGCCTATCTGAAGTTTTGTGTGAAAGACTTAAACCGATCGGAGCTCATCAGTGAGGTTTTAGACCTGGTGTGTATATATGTATATCTATCATAGATCAGATATTTACGATTATATGTATATTCTTCTAATGTACATGTGGAATGCTGGAGTATGAAGTTTGAAGACGTAGATAATTTTTTCTATTTAGGAACAAGCTGAAGCTCTACAAACATTGTTTGCATTAAAATCTCTTTCATCTCTTCAGAAAACAATGATCCAACTCTGCAGGTGACCTATCAATACTACAGCATTGATATCGCCTTGCCAACTGGGAAGAAAATATTGCCAGTGGCTTTGATAAAAATCAACGGTGGATTACGGATTTTAATTTTTTTGAAAATGGGAAACTTTCCCAAAACTAGCCTTCAGACCACTCACTGTATGTACTAACACCTTCACCGGTTATATTTGGTATTAAAACTAACTGGGAGTTACAACAACTTCCCACCACCAATCCTTTTCATGTTTATCAAAAAACACATTTTCCAGTAGGTATTTATTAACATGCAATACATACATACATAGTAAACATTGCATAGTCTTGCTTTTCGATTAATAGTTTATATTCAAGCCGAGACAATTCGGTTCGATTTCGCCTCACCACATTTTATTCGATTATAGTTTGCTTATCTGACAACGCGCAATTCTTTTTTCGTTTTCTGCCAGCTCCCCCATTAGTTTGTGTACATGTATGTATATACATACATATGTACATATAACGCACTCCATTCCCCTCCACAATATTTAGTTCGTTAACGCAGACCCAACCACTTTTAGTGTAAATACGTAATCCTTTGTCGAATGTCACTGAATTGGCTGTGTTAGCCCCACCATAACTGGCAATCGAGTTTGCTATGCACTGGTTATGTGTACATATGTTAATGGCGATGTTTATGTGTTTTGTGTATTCGTATTCGTAAACCCTGACAGTGGAAAGAGGTGGAGTGCCCATAGCAGACGCGGCGTATTGTAATATTAGAGAGAGCGAGAGTAAAAGAGTGTAAGAGAGAGAGAAAGAGAGAGAGACGAAAGGAAAGAACAAAAAGTGAAACCTTTTATCAGCAAACATCATACAGCGAGTTCGATAGCTTTGCTGTTTGTATGCACACATTCATTTATGCATATACATACGTATGTAGATAAATAAATATGTATATGCACATATTTATATGTAATGAATGTACATGGGAGCAGACTTTTTATTTATATCCAGCTCCTCAACCAGCTGATTAATGACAACCACCAACGATATACTATATTCAAATACATACATATGTATGTATGTACATAGGCATTTGTTATAAAGTCGGCTTGGCTTGGACTTAACGATTTTACAAATTTGTGAGCAATCATAAAAAGCAGAAAATTTGTAATCCTTTTTTTATTTTTGTTAGTTTTGGAATAAAACTTTAGCAATCCAATTAATAATGGCATGACGACGTGCTTCTATGCATAAATACATACATATGGTATTTACATACCTATGCATGCATTTTAAGGTAAGCCTGACATGAAAATATATACATATGTATGTATATCCTTCAGGCAGGCATAAAAAATATCTAGAAAATGCAAACATTTATGCTCAGGCACATTTCATAAATACTCAACATTTATTTATGTACATTTGTACATAATAGTACCTACCTCTTTGTTAAATTTTCAGCTGTCCATGTTACTATTTACATACATATGTATATAGAAAAATTTTAATGCTTCTTGTAAGTATGTATGTATGTATTTAGTAAAATCTTTTAGGTTTTTAATCTCTGTTGTTAGATATATTTTCTTTAAATGATTATAAGCACTATAAGCAATTCCTTATATAGATTTACATTCAATATGTTTCTGCGTAGAATAAGCCCATCAGCTGCTGTGAATAAGGAAACCAACTATGTATAATGGATTTTTCGCGTTATAACGTATGAAAATATGTATAGCGTGTAGTTGTCGTGACTCCCGTTCCGGTTTATTGATATTTTATTTTCTATAAATCCGTTATTTCCGTTTTATATATAATCAAAAAAAAAATGAACGTATTTATTCAATAACTTAATTTTGTTGAATTTCTTAAATATTTTGCTTTTACTTTTCTCACTTATTCAGATATGTACATATGTACATATACATACATATGTATCTATACGTCACGTCGATTTCCAAACAAAGCAAATGAAATCATCACCACACACAAAAACGAAACCAGTGGTTGTTTTATAAATTGTATTTCTCTTTTTTTTTTGTATTATATTATTTTGATATTTTTTTCACAAAGTAACTGAATAAACACACTACGCCAACGATTATGCCAAACATCCGCTCACATCGAGTGACAAAAACACAGTGTGCCGAAGCGTTTCAATGTTCAATGTGTCGGAACTTATCTATTGTGAATGAATGAATGATGTGGTGAGTTTGCTCTTTAAATTTTAGAGTATCTTAGGTAATAAAAAAATATTTATATATGTATGAGTTGCATATGTATGTGTTTAATACATTTATATTTTCGTGAGAGAAAACTGCTAAAATAAAATGTTACTTTTACTTCAGAGTGAGTCCAAAATTCATATTTGGCTTAGTCACTCGCAGTTTTCACACAAACTAATAACCTTTTTTGAAGCTATGTACATATATGAATGTTTAAGAATTGCACATAATTGGCTCTTGGATTAACTGACAGCTTTATGTTGTTTACTTATACATATGTATGTATGTATATATCGACATTAAAAAAAAGAAGAAAGTATTGACATTCGGTCACGAGACACCAGAAATTACCACTGGAGAGATATTTGAAAAAATGTGGAAATTGTAGAAAAGTGATTAAACTGTTTATTTCACTTTTATAAAGAAATCACAATAAACAAAGCAAACTTTTATGAGAGAGCAAATGAGATTAACTGAAAGTATTTAAGAACCTTTCAAAGAGGCTTGAAAAAGAGCGCTCTCCATAAAAAATTGCAATACTTAAGAGTTCAGAGAAAATATCGGAAATTCAGATGTAAAAAAATAAATGAACGTTATGCACAAATCTCCTTGCCTATCTTTTGCTTCTTCACTTAAATGCTACCAAATGTACGCATTTCATTTTACTACGAATATTTTGAGCGCATATTGTTGTATACACGCACACATGCGAATATTCGTCTGAGTTAAAAGTAATACCTATGTACATATGTAGCCTTTATTATGCATTTGTACATACATATGTACATGTACTATGTAGATAGATACATTTTTTTATACATACATATATTCTTTTTTGCTTTTGGAAAAATATTAAAAACTATTATTCTATATATATTATTTTATATTAACACTGCAGTCATTTGAAGTCGTTTCATAAAAAGTATTTCCATTTTTTGCACAAATTTTCAATTGAAAATGTAGGCGTTGTTATTTTATGTGAACATACTCATACATACATAAGTAGTAGATTTTAAACACTAACTCACACTATATTCATGTATTTCAACACATTGAAAAGTCCATAATATAAAATTAATAATTTTATTTCTGATTTAGAGCACTCTGACACTACATTCACATAAATAAATTGTAGTTATTTCAATATTTTAAAGGAATGAAGTAGATTTTTGATCGAAAAATTCCTTCTAATTACACCTGCGTTTCAAATACGTCTGCGGCCGAGTTGAGAAAATTTTCTTGTCTGTTAATATGTGCTGAAAATTTTTTAGTATAACATGGGGTCATCATACACACATATATATGTATGTACATATGTATGAAACGAGAGAATCCACTTATGAGTGGCTAGTTCAGTATTGTATTATCAAGTATTCGGAAACGTCGAAACAGCTGTTTTCACTACTACATACAAGTATATTTTGTATATATTGAAATGCGCGTGCAATTTCACAAATGGCTGTTTATCCGCAGGTGAACCCCGCATGTCCAACACGATTTTCACCACAATTTCAATAGTATATAGTTCACACTCTCAGTAGCACGGATAATTGTGAATTAATACTAGGGTTATTCAAAAAATTTGGTTTAATTCATATATTTAACCTTTTCTTTCAACTTTCTTACAATTCGTATATTAGTCGCTTTCTTGAAGAGGTAATCAATAAGTCAAACTTATACGCAAGCTTTGATATCAGTCAATTCGTACTCGCATCAGGTAAAATTGGTTATTTATTTGCCAGTTGCGCTAAGAACTCCAGTTTTTTGCTTTTCCGAACAGCATATTTAAAATTTTCCCTACATCAAATATTTGACTTGCTTTACGCATTCTGCCTTCAAACTTTAGTTTTACAACTTATTTACTTTTAATTTACTTCCATAGTAAAGCGCCCTAGAAGCGCCGTAGAAAGTCTACGTGCCGGTGGAGTTGTAAATGTGGCAATTGCATCTTCGACTCCAAGTACAATGAAGTCCTCTGTGAATTCCGTAAACAGAAGAGTAGGTGTTTATTACGTTTTAGGTATATATATTATATTTTACTTGAAGACGCTCTAACTCCCGCTTCCGAGTAAAGCAGCACCTCAAAATGCCTGTGGTTTACCCGCGGATTCATCTCCTTAGTTTTTTTCTTCTTGCATTTTGGAAATAAACACTTATTAAGATAGAAGAAAATTAAGAGGCGCGATTTAATTTTTAGTTCCATTTTGAATTTATACTGCATATTGAAGTTTGAGTGAGACAGTTTGACGTTTAGCGATGATTTCCGTTTTCCGTTGGTATTTTTAGTGGCCCATTCACAATAGGACCACAATTTTTCTTATGGATGTTGTTTTAGAGACTTCAATAACTCAATTTCATTATTTTGTGTTATTGGTTTCTATCATACTTGATAACTTATACAATGTTCTTTTACAGATCATGTGCAAAAGGAAAAGAATGGAAAAATGTGTTAATAATTGCATGTAGCAAAGCAAAATGCAAATCCTAACAAAATAATTCTTATTTTTCACCTCCACACAGTAGAAAAAAAAAGATTGAATGTTTGTAAAGTATGCATTTTATTCCATAAATAATTTTTTGATCGTACTTTGTGCCTTTACATAAAATAAATACTTGGGTAACATCCACGCTTGTTTTCATAATATTTCATTTCGCACGAAATATTCCAAAAATATTTCCAACCTCTCACCATATTTTGGATTACTAAAAATTTTTTGTCTATTCGCATTCGCTTCGTCAGTTTTTAATATAAAATTCAATGGATCTGCCAAGTCTGCATGCTCATTGATTAAAATCGGTAACAAACAAGTTGCAGTTATGAGACCTGAGAACAAAAAATGAAATGACGTTAAAAGTAAACAAAATAGAGAATAATAGTATACCACTCTCACCATGAAAACTGTTTAGTTTTCCGAAACGATAAGCCAGCAATTAAAATGTATGGCCATAAATTCATATGCTGTATGACATTTGTTTAGTTTTCCGAAACGATAAGCCAGCAATTAAAATGTATGGCCATAAATTCATATGCTGTATGACATTTATAGGCCAGGCAATAAAAATTAAAGTACAAACAGATGTCCATATACACATACTCATGATATGAATATTGATACTTGATGCCTTTACAACAACATAAGCATCTATGTATACTGATGTTCTTATCATGAATATGTAAAGCAATAAAAATTAAAACATAAGATAAGATTATCTATTCGTGGGTAATCTTCTAATGTAAACATACTTATGTACACATATGCATGCACGTAAATCGTCACATTACAAATTTATATAAATAAACGCTCTACAGATTGTGGAGTCAGTTATACTTAAACCAACTGAAAGTAAAGTGATTTAGTTCCCGCCTCAACAAAAACCTTTATTTATAATCTCCTTTCTAACATCATCGACTGTGGGTATTCTCTGATCATAGTTCAACTTGTACAATAGTTCACTCAGCACGGAATGGTATTTAGTTAATAGATCTTCGAAATGATTTTGAAACACTTCCATTTGCCACGATGAAAATATGAAAAAGTTCCAATCAATGCCTGGAGAGCCATAAAATCCTTCTTGATAGTCCACCTACATATATATTTAAGTACACAATTAGCTGCTCTCACTCCATTCATTACACACTTTAAGCATTTTTCTATACTTACGAATAATACTTCGATTACTTTGCCGTTTACGTCTTTACGAAACATCATATTGTTCACCCAAACGTCACCGTGATTTAGAACATGGTAGCGGTCCATTTGACTGCGACTAAAGACGTTAATCACCTTGGGTATAATCTTCTCACCAAATTCTTGCAACTTTGGCACATATTGTGCGAGTTGTGGATTATTTTGACAATATTCAATCGAATTTTTAATTGTATTTGTATAGACATCATGAAGAGGTGAAGAATGTTCAGACACGTTGCTAGGCAAATGATATCGAAACAAATCTGGATTCTGAAATATTGCCATTTCGATCAAATTACAATAGACCAAAGGAATTTCAAATGCAATAAATTATATGGGGTGTACCTTTTGATAGAGCACCATTGTGACTGCATGGAATTTCGCTAATTTCTCCACGATTAAGCGGCAACTTTCAAAATTCAAACCAGTCTTAACATTTTGTATTGAAAAGCCTTGTAATTTTAGATCTTCTTGAACTATGATGCGTTCGTCCACAAAAATTGCCCTAAAAACAAAATAACACATTATTAAAGGTTTTCCCATAATAGTTGTTATTTTGAATAGTCTGCTATGCTGGCAAATGTCACATTTGAAGCTGTAATTTTTGGACATTTCACAAGTAAAAAGCGCGCCAGTAATAAAAATTGATCGACACACGCTTCAAAAATACATTAAAATTATTTAAATCTTGTTTGTTGAGTTCCATTTCCAGGTCGAGGGCTATGCCAATTTATTGTTGAAAAGCCTCTTCATCCTCAACGTATGGTATGGATATAGACCACGTTTACTTTCGATTGCCATGCAAGCAAAGAAAACATCGATTTTTTGTACGTGGATTGGTATGTACAGTGCTGTGAATGGTCAACCAGAGAACTTAGAGTAACATAACAGTTTTTCTTTATGCTAAACTCTCAAAACTGTTTCTTTACCAATCTATTGAGTGGTTGGACGATTACGTGCATCATAATCTCCGCTTAAGCGATTGTGAACCGATCCGCGATCCATTTTCATAAAGTCCTGACTTTTAACTAAAACAAAACATGTTTCGTTTGGCAGAAGACAAAATACAGCCCTGTACTTTTGAAGCCCTGAAATGGATAACCCTATACATTTGAGCATACTCACTTGGGTCCAAAACGTGTTTCGTCGTTAACACTACGCAATAACTCTTCAGCTGCTCCCATTATTCTATTATAAACTTGAGCTTCACGAAGGAAAATATTCAAATCTTCTTCTATTTGCGAAAACAATTCTTCTTCTAGACGTGATTTTACAATTAAGTTTATTTCCTTTAAAACTCCCGGCTCTGCTGTCGTATTATATTTGACCGTTACAAGATGCATACTGCTTGCATAGTTTTCACCTTTTTTGGTTGCTGGCGCTTTTGTAAATGAAATGATTCCCTTTAATTGATTTTCAGTGTATTTTTGAAGTATCTTCGTCAAGTACGTGTGGTCTAGCCATGTTGGTTCTTCACCGGTGACGTCACTCATTTTGCAGCTTTCGAAAATTCAAATTTTTCCGCAAGCAAGTTCTTAAACATTGAAAATAAGCAAATTATTTAAAATAAAAATTTATAGATAATGGAAAAGATGTGAGAAGGAATGGAGGGATCTAAAATTCTATTTTCCTAAATAAAAATTTAAACAAATATTGTATTATCGAGTAATTAAGACTATCAATTATTGACGATAGAGGGTTTAAGTCCTGGCGAGCTCATAGTGCTGTTGTTCCTGTTGTTGTTGCGGTGACTAGTCTAACTAATCGAGGTCATCAAACATGTAGTGCAAGAGAGGAAAGGAGAGTTAGATGAGTTGGTTTAGGGGAACATGCGTCGTGCAGGCTCTCATTGCATTCAGGGTCGGGGTCAAGCCTGCATAGGTAAAAAATTCAAATCCCCGTACGACCAAAATTATAAAAAAATAATTTAAATAAAAAGTTAAGTTAAATTTTCTAATTGCGGTCGCCTCTTGGCAGGGAGTGTCAACCCCTCCGCGTGTATTTCTGACATGAAATAAAGCTCCTCACAAAAAAACCGTCAGCCATTCGGAGGCGGCTTCATCAAGATGCAAAAACCACAAATTGGAGGAGGATCTCGGCGGAAGATCGCTTCAGCGGTTACAAAGCGCTATATATTATTATAATATCCCAGACCTTAATTGTGCCAGTATTACTCGAACCTCACCAGGCAGCTCAAGCTCTTGGTCTAAAGAAGGTTTTACTTGGATTCCGAGAAAGCCATTCACAGGAAGAGACTTCGGGAAATGATCGACGGACTCTAGGTAAATGGCGTTTAAGGGCTGCCGGTACGCCATTCTGTCCTGCGGTTGTTACAGATAGCCTTGAATGGAGTCTATGTAGTCTAAAGCTCTCTTTCTAGTGTGATGTTAGATGGAGGTTCAGTCTCAGGTAAATGTCAGTTGGGATGCTATCATTCCAGAAAAGGTTGCTATTACAGCATAAAATAATGCTTCTTAACTTGTAGCATATGCGGAGTGAAGGAGTGCAGGCTACCGTATGTGACTCCCAGGAACTTTGTTTTATTTATTTTCGGAATACTTACTTCATGGAGTTTCACATGGAATTCGAGCCGGTATTTCTTAGTTCAGCTGGTGAAAAGGGTAGCCGAGCAATTTGCAGATTGTGGTTGTAAATGTCGCGCAGTGAAAAATTGGGAAAGGTTGGGGAGTAGTGGTTTCCTTTCAGACCCATAAGATATCAATATCCTAACCAGACAACAGTATCGAGCAGTCATCGGCGTATGCGATCAAAGAAATGCCCTCTGGTAGAGGAGACAGCTTCGAAGTGTAAAAATTAAATGGAAGCCCTCTCCCTGTCATCAGAGCTCAAATAAACGCTCACTGGTATAGGAGAGAGGGAAATATTTTACCGATGGGACTCCACAATAAATCTATCTCCCTATACTAACCATTTAAAGCTTCTAAATCTATCTACTCTCGCATGTCGTAGAGAAATGTTAGGCGCGTCATTCGTAGTGAAGCTTCCTAACGGATCAATTTGCAGCTCATGGCTTTTATCTGAGGTAAACTTAAATGTTCCAACTCGCGTATCTAGGCATTTTAAGCCTTTACTATTAAAGTCATGCAAAACAAATTATGAATTGAATAAACCCTTCGCCGATTGTGTCACATTTTTAATTTTCACTCAAGCACCTTCGATCTCTTTATTGAATAATTATTTTTTCTGTAGCTGAACCGTTTCCCAATCATGACTCGGCATGTTCCGTACGTTATACGCGACTTCCGTGTCGGTTGGGCGGGTTGGGCTTATTATTATAAGATAAGACTATCTTTTATTCGATGGTTTTCCCGGTTTAAGCAACTAGATAACTTTCCACATATCGGGTATTATTAGAGTGGTCAAAAACAGATTGATACCTATCTTTCTCCCACTGGACCCAGTTGTTTTAACATTATTTCGTCAGGGCCGATGGATTAAGAGGCATTTATCACTTTTTATATACGAATTATCGCACGATTGAGACTCTGTGGCCTGAGGCCACTGTAGACATATTGATATACACGATTCTATCAGTTACACATATTAAATAGAGTAATTAATTGTGTATAAAATATTAACTACAAATCTACTACATATATGTTTGTGCAGTTATATGCTTTATCGGTATATAAATACATTCGTACCTGTTTTTAACACTCTTTTGAGAAGGCAAATATCGCTCAGTAAGCTTTTCAAAATATAACTCTTTTTCTACACTCTTTAATCAATCGCATTTTACCGTTGCTTGTTCACCTGACAGTGACTTAATTGATACTGATTAGTATTTATTCACATGTATATATTCGAATGCACACACATTTTTGTATATACATAGGTATGTTAGAACTGATTATTTCCCTATCATTTCATCGTTTTGTTCATATCTCACTAGTAATCCATTCAATACTGTGCTTTCTGCAATGCTGATAACGCACAAGTTATGGCGTTCATATTGAAAAGTTCTTCGCCTACTCACATACAGTCATGTGAAAAATAATAAATCATTCAAAGCTCAACTCAACAGCAATTCCTCAACAATGGTTACAGATGTCATATGGAGTTTTAGTTATAACAGGTTTGTAATGTAAGGAAAGAGTTTCTCAATAAGAGATGTTATTTTCATTGAAATCATTAAAATTCGCTGTAAAAAAATATCATCGAGAAATCTTCTTATGAGACTCATTTCCAAATTGTCGCATCTCGGGATCGGAATCTCCAAGATTCCCCATCCTCAACTCGTAACAGTTTTGTGCGGTTTATGGTTCGGCGGTGTCATTGGACATTATTTTTTCGAAAATGCGGCTGGAGCAACAGTTACGGTAAATAGCTATCGATAAATGATTAATGATTTTTTGTGGCCGGGATTAAGTGGTATTGATGTATACTTTTAAGAGAAAAGCCCTTTTGAATGCCAAAATAACATTAACCGCAACTTTTAGGTTTGAGTAAAAACGAAATAAAATTTTTTTTCATAACTACTTTAACGGAACGATACGACAACGTTAGAAATCGATTGATATGTTTTGATTAATTTATCGTTAGAATGCAACCTTGGTTCAGGATTGATTTACCACTAGGGTGTAAGATTTTATCAATGTTTCAACAAGGCATCATCACCCGATGTATAGCAACACAACGGTAAAGTTGTATAAAGCACCTTATAGCAGAGGTGTATCAATTATCTCTCATCTATTGCGGAGGCTCTCTTCATATCAACCCTGATTTTTAATTCTTTGTTGCTGGTTTCCGCGATCTATCCCTAGTAGCAGCTAATTATTCTTCTTGAGATCTTGGAGTTCTCTTGCGGATAACAAAATGTTATAAATAAAGAAAAAAATCACTAATTATTTATTAATTCATCTCAGTTATGAATGTCCAAAAAATTTGGAATATGGTAACATTTTTTCAATAAGTTTGTTTTGCTTTTTTTTCTACATTTAATAACCTTCCGCACGGTTGACTAGATTAAAATATTAAGAAAATGCCAGTATTCCACTCTGAGCAAAACACAAAGTAATGCTCTTATATTCATATATGAGCTAAAAATGTGGAATGAAATATACAAAAATTGAAGATTTCTTTAGCGAAATTTTAGAATTTCAATAGAGCTCTAAAATCCAGAACATTTCAAAGAAAATGATGGAGAAATAATAAATTAATTCTTAACAATTTACACATATGTATGAAAATATATGTTCAAAGTTGTTTAAACAATTAAAGTGTCTTCGCAAAGTTTCTTAATATGTTAAAATTATTTCTAACTGCAGAATTTAATTACATGTTTATGGCGGTCATTACTTCGTGGATGTTGTTCAGTAATAAATTAATCTTGATCTTTACTGGACTTAAAATATTGACAGAATTCGAAGAAAACTTTTGTATCTGGCAATGCCTTACCACGTGTTCGAACTTCGAATTGTTAACAGTAGCTATCTCTTTTGCTCCTACGCCGGTTAGCAAAAACGTCAAACAAACGCGAGTTTGTGGCCATTTTACATAAAATTTTGTGCTATTCGGTAAAATATTATTGAAAAATTAAATCGCTTCATAAAATAGTTTTTATTCGATCAACAAAAATATGTAAGCCTAACTAAAACATAGTAGATTATTACGATTATAACATCAAATATGGAACATTTATTACATATATTTAATTATCTAGGGCTCATGAGCGTTCGCCGTCGACCGGGGCGGATAAAGAAGGAAAGGATGGAAAAGAATCTACTGCAAAAGATGTAAAGCCAAAGGTAAGCTCATCGTCTAACTCAAATCGTGGCCGGGAACGCGACCGTAGGAGGCGAGGCTCGGCATCATCAAGCAGCGATAGTAGCGGCAGGTGGGTTTTTGTAATACATATAAAATAAAAATTTGTAGTCAATGTATTCTATATCAGTTCGTCAGATAGCAGTTCATCCAGAAGTAGTTCTGGCTCAGGATCACGATCAAGTTCTTCAAGTTCCAGCGGATCATCCTCTTCGTCATCTTCAACTTCAAGCGATTCTGATCGCAGCGTAAACAACCGACGACGTGCCGGAGGAGGAAATTCAAACACAGCGCGTAAAAGTGGTTCGCGTTCACCTCGTCGGTCTAAATCTCCTAGGGCCACAAGTAAGACACGTAAAGACAATTCGCGCTCTAAAGAGCGTGAACGTGACAGAGACCGCGATCGTGAGCGCAATGACCGCGACAGAGATCGGGATCGCAATGAGCGTGATCGTCGACGAACTAGATCACGATCCAAGGATCGTGCGCGTCGTACATCTAACGATCGCGGTGTAGGTATAGGTACAGGAGCAGATGCTGGAAATGTCAAACGCGAACGGTCCAAAGAACGTGAGCGTGAACGACGTTCGCGTTCCGGCTCACGTTCTCCGCGTCGTCGTGCACGCAGTTCAGGGGAACGAAGTCCACCACAAAAGCGACGAGAGCGCACCCGTTCCCGTTCTATCACACCAAAACCAGTGCGCATTCATGTAGGACGTTTAACGCGTAATGTAACTAAGGAACATGTAGTGGAGATTTTTAGCTGTTTTGGAGAAGTGAAGAATGTTGAATTCCCAACGGATCGTTATCATCCTACATTTGGACGTGGTATTGCTTATGTAGAATACGCTACACCAGAAGAATGCGAAGCTGCCATGAAACAGATGGATGGTGGTCAAATTGATGGACAAGAAGTTACTGTATCGCCGGTATTGACACCAAAAATACGGCAACCTCTTAGGCGTCCATCGCCGATAATGCGACGGCCAGCAGGCCGTTGGCGTTCACCTCCTCAATTTAATCGTTTCAATAACAGAGGAAGACGATCACCTCCGCGTGGAAGGCGTTCACCACGGCGTCGTTCCCGTTCTCCAGTTCGTCGCCGAAGACGCAGTAACAGCTCTGACAGTTCTCGTTAACAAATCAAGTCAATAAATAGGAAACACTAACAATGGAAGTTTTAAAGATAAATGCTAATCGGTAATCAAGAGACACATTATTCATTTTATAACTTGTTCTACGTTCTATATAAATACTTGTAGCCTTACGTTTATGTCGACGTAAAAAATTAAAAAATCATGCAATTTTATTCAAAATTTAAAATTGTATAAAATCATGCGTAAAGCTATTGACATAAAGACGCTTTTAAAAAAAAAAAGTTAATGTGAAAACAGAATTTGTATAGTAGAACAGGAGTTAAAACTTTAATTAAAATCTTATTTAAATATATTTTAAGTTTTGTTATTTAAAATAAACCACATTTTAGATGCTTAATGTATAAATGTACAGTCCTCGGAAGCTAAGGGACACCCATCAGGATGATACTCTTTGAAAAAGCAAGGACGTTTTTTAACAGTTTGTTGTTTCACTTTCACCTTGGCCATTTCAGGTTTTGGTTTTCGTATACCAACAAAATCCCCTTCCCAAAATTCAAATATCTCATGTTTATTCCTTAGTAAAGTTTTTATACCACCGCATTCGGCTTTGATGCTTTGAAGATCACTTTTCTGCAAACACTTAACTATATCTGACATACGCAACCGTGCACCCATCTGCCATTTATCAAAGGCACCATCGTTTCCTTTTGAAATTTTATTGCCTGAGGTCAGAAGATGTTTGAATATTTTTAACACTAAATCGTCCAAAATATTTTTATCGATTTGTGTGCAATTTCGAACTTTCTCACAGTTACTACGTAGCTTAATATCTCTTCCTGAAATATTGTTTCCAAACTTAATTCGTTCCTCCTCAACGAACTTTGAAATGCTTTCATTTTGGTTTGCGTTTATGTTTTCCGAATATGTTCTTTCAATCCCAATTAGAGCTAAGCGTTTCGTACTAGGAATTTTTAAACGATCTTTTAAAGTGATATAACCACACTTTTCTGAAATATTATTCAAATAGGTATAAAAATCTTGATAAGCACTAATCCCCGTATTACGCCGCAGGAACTTCGCACCAGACAATTCGTAAGCACAACAAGGAAGTAAAAAATAATGCATTCGATAGCTGCTCATAGCACTTATGATGGGTATCCATGGCGATAACTCATCGGAATGATTACCAATCACCCAATCTACTTCTGCGGGCAGCTCAAATTTATCTGGGTCGATTGTTTGTACAACCAAGCGAGTGGTACGTGGATAATAAGACCAAATTTTGCGGCTTCGCACATCGTAACCATACCCATTAAAACCTTCTTCTGTGAGCAAATATACTAATAGCCCATTGCCACATCCGAGATCTGCAAACCCTGTTGGTGGGCCCACTTGCTCCCACAGGCAAATAAGGTAAGATGCTATGGCTATATCTTCGTAAATGAACTTCAAGGGATCAGTAGATTCTTTTGCATTGTTCCAATACTGAAATTTCAAAGATATTCCTTTAAAGAAAAAATAAAGAATAAATAACTGTATTTACTTACTTCTAATGCTTTTTCAGCGTATTTAGTTTTAAGTAATTTATAAAGTTCATTATAGCGTTCCAAGTCAATTAATTGAAGTGATTTAGTTTGTGTCGAACTATTTGCGGAGCACAACTCTTCCAACCTCGCATTTTTACACCATTTGAGAAGTTTAGGTTTCAGAACAAAATCCAGCCATCGTATGCCCTTCTCTTTTGAACCACGTTCTGTGAGTATCTCAGTTGCTAGCACGTTTTTAGCAAACCGCACTTGATAGTCCTCAAAGTGCTCACAGGACTTAAATCTACAAGTAAATGATTTGTTGACCAAATCTGAACGTATTACATGCATATGTGTATAGATAAACACATACAAGTTATAAAGTTGCAAAACTTAAAACATTGCTTTATTTACCTATTTTACCAACAGCTTCGATGTTGTTTTGCAATTTTTTAGTCAAGAATTTGTAGAAAATTATAAACCCTTCACAATCCACGCTAGATTCATTGTTTGCTACCAAATTGTAAAGTACGGATTCAATTTCTGCTTCCGAGGATTTATAACCCAGACCCACTGTTTCTTCCACTTTAGTTAGGTTACTCGATTCGCAAATGTATTTATCAGATTCCTTTCCGATTCCTTCATTTAGCCTAATTACTTTTTGAAATACACATGCAAATATTTTTTTATTCACCGCATGATAATTTCTAATCAATACAGTAACACCTGTCCAAAATTCAGTTTCTGTGAGAAAAGCTGGTGAAGTGTCCATTTTCACGCATTTAAACGATTTATAATTTTAAAGTTATACAGTGTAGAGCAATGAAATCAAGATGTAAACAATAACCTTTTTATTTTGGTGACATTTTTAAGTACGCTCATATGACAATACATTTTCTATTATAGCGTGCCTAGAGCTACATTTTAGAGCGGTGGCGGAGAGTTTCTATTTTGTTAAATACTATTGTTTTCAATTTTCCCGGAAGCTAGAGTATGTATATATATAATTTTTTTATTAAAGATTTGGTTGATAAGATTTAATTGTTCAGTATAAAAAATCATTAAAACAACGCACCGTAAGCAATCTTTCAGCGATCACCTGTGTAGATGCAGAGTTATAATAAGCTCTTGTATCATTGTGAACCGATTATTTACTATTATATAATTTTTTGCATTGTCGTATGTATTTACGTACTTAACTTACTTTTGTTTTATCCTGTCCTTACATTACACTGTTTAACAAATAATTATGTCCTTTATGCAACAAACATTAAGATGTGCTTTCCGTACTGGCAGATCACTGAGGGATAAACATATTTCACCATTGGTAAGTCGTGCTTCTCTATTGGGTCTGAAGGTCGTTCATTGTTAAAAGTATTATTCCATAGATACCCGGTATGAGAAATGGGCATCACAGGCATAGTAGTACAACACCGGCGGATGATCCATCTCAATTCCCTGGCGCTAAAGCTCCATTCGTATCAGACTTAAAATTAATATTGGAATCTGAATACGATGCCATTCCTATTTATCGTGTTATGGACAGCGATGGGTATATTGCAGATAAAACACAGGATCCCAATTTGAGTAAGGAGGTAGTGCAAAAGATGTTCAATGATATGGTTTTGCTAAACACTATGGATAAAATGTTATACGAATCTCAGCGTCAGGGACGCATATCATTTTATATGACGAATTTTGGAGAAGAAGCGTCTCATATTGGAAGTGCAGCTGCTTTAGAAATGCGTGATTTGATCTTTGGCCAATACCGAGAAGTCGGTGTACTAGTTTGGCGTGGTTTTCGCATCGACCAATTCATTGATCAATGTTATGGCAATTGCGACGACCTAGGGCGAGGCAAGCAAATGCCAGTACATTATGGCAGCAAAGAACTAAATTTTGTAACCATATCCAGTCCTTTGTGTAAGAATTAGTTATTTAAACAATTAGAATATGTATCAAAATTAATTTAAAAAAATCTCTGTAGCTACTCAAATGCCACAGGCTGCGGGAGCAGCATACGCTATGAAATTACGTCCAAATAATGATGCATGTGTTGTATGCTACTTTGGTGAAGGTGCTGCATCGGAGGGCGATGCTCACGCCGCTTTTAACTTTGCCGCAACGCTCGAATGCCCAGTTATTATGTTTTGGTATTTTGCTTAATAATCTTTAAATTTCATAGAAATAATGAGCTGCTTTCAGCCGAAACAATGGTTTCGCAATTTCAACTCCTTCGTATGAACAATACAAGGGCGACGGAATAGCAGCAAGGGCCCATGGTTATGGCATGGCAACCATTCGTGTGGATGGCACAGATGTTTTCGCCGTTTACAATGCTATGAAGCTGGCCCGTGAATATGTCCTCCGTGAAAATAAACCTGTTGTGTTTGAGGCTATGGCATACCGGTAAGTTATAGATTACTATATTCAATACGGCTTGTAAGGAAGTAAACATTTATTTTGTCTTGTAGTGTTGGTCATCATTCAACTTCAGATGATAGTACGGCTTATAGATCAGCAGATGAAACTGAAGTGTGGAACTCCAAAGAACACCCGCTTTCTAAATTAAAAAGCTACATGGTACGGAAAGGCTGGTTCAATGAAAACGATGAAAAAGAATTTGTAAAAGAAGTACGTAAGAAGGTGTTGAAGCAAAATAATATATCGGAGAAGAAACTTAAACCTAATTGGAAAGAGATGTTCGAAGGTGTATACTACGAAATACCTCCACATTTGATGGAACAAATGAAGGAATTGGAATTGCATATCAAAAATCATGCGGACCAATATCCAACAAAAAGCTTTGAAGCTTAAATTTCTATTACAAATAGCACATTTCTTAACTGTTATTTAGCATTTGGCTGATTCACCTTAGAGTTTTCCGTAACTACTATCTGTCAATAGATAATTAACACAGGCTTCGACTTAACTTGTGATACTTGAAGTGCATTTATTAATTTTAAGAATGTTTGTATGTATATAATCCAATGTCTGATTAAAAAAAGACGCATTTAAATCTCTGGAAAAGGTATCTAGTAAAATAAATATTTTATACAATTGCATACAATAAAATGAAGAATATATATATATGTGTTTATTTTCAAAAAAATTTTGATTGATCAATTTAAAAACATAAGTACGTTATAAAATAAAATAATGCTACATATGTACGACTTCATATTTACTGTTAGAAAAGAAACCGTTTGCAGAGCAAGGAAATCAACGTGGAACGGAATGTGTTTTCACAGAAAATATGCGAAAATGTCAAAAACGACTTTATATTATATATAGTGCACATTACATCGGTTTCAGTGATAAATTAACGATTTGTTTAATTTACAAGCAGCATTTGTATTTCCTTCACTCGTTATATTAATTAGTACGCAATTGGTAATCGCCGTTCTGCGTAATATATCGTACCCAAGGCAATGCTTGGTAGCCGCTCTTTTCGATAATTTTTAAATAACGAACCTGGATGCCTGATGTTGTGAAATAAGGAATTTCAAAACGAACTTGTATCGGTGGTTTCCCTTCATTGTTGTCTTCGCTTTCAACACTTGGCAGACCAAAATGGGCTCGCATTAAATATTCCTTCCCACCAGGAAATGATTTAATAGTCCAAATTATAGCGTTTTGTTCTGGAGCATATTTACAACTGCCTATGGTGGTTTTAAATTTCGGAGAGTCGGCATCTGCAGGCACAGGAATAACAATCTCGACATTATTTGCAGTAGAACGACGCTTAAATTGGGATTTAGCTTTAATCATGTATTCGACACGTGAGTGTACGTGGCGTTCAATAACAGACTCAATCCAAATAAGTGGCTTTACCTATTATTGAAAATACAAAGTAGAATTATTATATAAATAGGAACATATATGTTAAATTTTTTCTCAAAACTTCTTACGTGTGTGTTAAGACGATAAGACATTAATTCAAACTCTCCATCTGGTGGAATAAATGAAATAGTACGGTCATTCTCAAAGCGTGATAATCGCACGCATTGGTGGAATTTCACATCCTCCAATTCAACGGACTTAGATTTGCCACGCCCAGTGCTCTCAAATAATACTTTATCGTTCAAACCCAAACGTAATTCAGGCATCCCAGATAAATACACACGCATTTTTATTGCGCCTACAATTTCGCTTCGCAATACATTTCCGTTAGCATTCGCCAATAAATTTACCGATTCTATCACATCAAGAAATACTTCGTTTTTACGATATTTAATACCCTCAGAACGCCAAGATACTGCATTGGTAACCGCTAATGGTGGACGGGGTTGTAATTCTAGTTTATGTCCCTCTTGGGTAATATATTCCTGCAATATTTTTGAATCTGTTGTCTGGGGATAGCCAAAATCAATCAACTCATCAAGTAGCTCATATATAATCACAAAATTATCGCGTATAGACTCTTCTTCCAGTTCTTTAAAGTATTCAATAAATACTTGTGCAATTTTATGTAGAAACACAAAAACCAAAGCAATATTAACATTCTTGTTCCGTGGTGTAGTCGATACAATATAAAGATTGTTCGTCTTGATGTACGCAAAGGTGCTGTATGAGTTCTAGTTTATTAAATTTGTTTATAGCCACAAAAATAACATTTACACTTACTGATCAGCAGTCTGTAATATAGGCGTAATGAGACCTTCCTCCTCGCGTTCCATAAGTAGTGGCATGAACTTGTCAATAGCAGCCATATCCATTGTATCCCCACGATAATTACGAGATATCAATACTTTGCCTTTGACATCAAGCACATATATTGCTGATGAAGACATCGTTCCAACTTCCTTGCGTCACTCAAATATGGTTTTCCTATTACGATAAGAGCAAAAGCTCAGGTGTTTAAGTTGATAAATAATTTGCGATTAGTTATCTTTTACTAAGCACTTGATTACACAAAAACGATGGCTCACTATTTTAATTTAAGAGAAAATTTCATTATTATAGAATTAGTTTAAGAAAATTAATCAAAAAGAAATTTTTACTTTTTCCAAGGTGCCACACAAGTTGCACTGACGATGACAATCTGTTGTCAAAATGTTTGACATTTAATAATAATTGGTGCCCTGCCACATTATGATTATTGCAGATATTTTAAAACGTTGAAGAAAGATACCACTCCTTTATAGAAAATTACCGCACTCAATTTACAATAACAACATACCACAGCAATTTTATTATACAAATCCTTTAAGTTTGTGCTTTTAAATAATTCAAGATTACTGATATATTCCAATTAGACGATATGAAGTGGTTATAAAACAATTGGGCGATATGAAACAACAGAGCGGGTTATGTTTCGAAAAATCGTGTTTCCATTAGCTCGTTCTAGCAGGGCATGTAAAATATGTCCTCATTTCAGAAATTGGCAGCTCTAAGCGCAGCAAGCGTGTTATTGTGAATTGTGGTTTTTACTAGAAACATTTTTGTGTCAATAAGTTCTATCTGGCGGCTTTAGAAATAATTTCTTATTGGTAAAAGTACCAAATTTTTCGAGTCCCAAGTTAAAGCATTTCTAACTAATTTGTGTTAGCTTGCAGAAGTCAAAATAAATACATTTTTTAACTAAAAAAGCCGACGGCACCTCCCTCTAATCCTTGGTTCCAATCTAGAAAATTGTAAACAATAGTTTCAGAAAAAAAAAATAGAAAAAAGCAAATATGGAATCTATAGATATTTCGCGCTTGGAGGAGGCGGTTGTCCTGTTTTATCGTTCAACTTCTCAGGAGCAGGCCATAACACATGAATGGCTTACGAATGCTCAAACAAGTACACAAGCATGGCAATTTTCATGGCAGCTGATGGAACTTGGAAAGGTAATGAATGATGATCATTTCCATATTAAATAATTGTTTTATTTTATATGTTACATAGAGCCAAGAAGTCCAGTTCTTTGGTGCCGTTACTTTGCACTCTAAACTTATGAAGTATTGGCATGAAGTACCTCGAGAAAATCACGAGGAATTGAAGCAAAAAATTTTTGAAAAAATTATACAATTCGCAAATGGCCCTAAATTAGTGCTCAATCGTCTGTGCATTGCTGTGAGTATATTCAAAAAGTGTTAATTTTCTTTCTTGCTTTTTAAAAACAACAATTTTCCTTTAGCTTAGTGCTTATATCCTGCATATGCTCGAAGAATGGCCAACCGCCATAGAGGATGTCATAAGTACCTTTCAAAATCAACAAATACCAAATGTCAATAAAGAAATGCAACTATGGATAATGCTGGAGGTTCTTTTGGCTATACCAGAAGAGGTCTGTTTCCTAATGTACTATTTTGCATATGTTTTTAACAAAGTTGTGTAAACAGTTGCAGGCTATTTTTACTTCAGTTAGAAGAGCAACAATGCGAGCAGAGGTGGGCAAACGATTTCCTTTAGTAATGGATACGAGTGTAGCTTATTTAAATACGCAAATAGATCGAGAATGGGATAGTGAATGTTTTAGTAATATGACAAAAGCAGTAAAATGTGTAGGAGGTTGGGTAAGGTAAGTATGCGTTTTGAAAATATTTTTAACGTACTCAGTCTATGCAAATCAATTACTGCTATCAATATTGTAGAAATATTGGATATTCTATTGAAAATTGTCAAAATATCACCACTATCTTGCTTAAAATAATTAACAAATGCTACTGGCCCTGCGTGCAAGATACGGAAGGAGATGGATGTATGTCAGCAGATGAAAATGAGTTAGCCGAGACGTGCCTAAAAACGTTAATTAGTCTAATTGTACAACCAGATTGTCACGCTTTTCCCAAAACAGCGTTTGTACTTATAAAAATGTGTCTCGATTCTTTGTCAAATATCACAAAAATGGAATGGAAACGTGATAATAACAATGAAGACATTGTGCTCAATATTTACTTACTTTTCGTGTCGTTTATGGAGAGACACTCGCAATTGTTATTAAGTGGAATTACAAGTTTGGATCCAGAGCTCTCGACTCTCTACTCTCGCCTTGTCCACGAGCTTCTGCAATGCACAGATAAACCAGGAATATATCCTGTAGAGGAATCATGTAGTAGCATGGGTTTGGGATTTTGGTATCTTTTACAGGATGAAGTTTTCGCAATGCACAACTATGATGAACGCATGAAATGTTGGGAATATATAAAGCCATTATATGCACATGTAACCAATATATTGGTGAGAAAATCTGAGCAACCAGATGATAATTCCATAGACAAGTGGTCATCGGATGATTTAGAAAGTTTTCGTTGTTATCGGCAAGATATATCAGACACATTCGTAAGAATACACATACTTTTATGATGTTTGTTATTTCCTTATTAAAGAAAAACCTATTTTTAGATGTACTGCTATGACGTTTTGCATGAAGATATACTCGATATATTGGCTTCTATTTTGAATGAAACTATTGCAGAAGTACAAGCAAATCCAACACACTGGACTAAACTGGAGGCTTGTATTTTTTCATTTCAATCTGTTGCCGAGCATTTTGCCGGTGATGAATCTAAACAATTACCAAAATTGATGCGTGTTCTTTCTGAAATTCCATATGATAAAATGAATGAAAAGCTGCTGGGCACTGCACTTGAGACCGTTGGCTCTTACTGTCAGTGGTTAAAAGACAATCCCGCTTATATACCGCCAGCCATTCAGCTGTTAGTACGGGGCTTAAATTCGAATATGTCCGCTCAGGCTACCTTGGGTCTAAAGGAGCTTTGCTGTGACTGTCAACTGCAAATGAAACCATTTGCAGAACCTCTTTTGAAAGCTTGTCATGATACCCTAACGTCAGGACAAATGAAAAATTCAGATTGCGTGCGATTAATGTACAGTGTCGGTAAACTTATGAGCTTGCTTCCGGCTGCGAAAATACCAAGCTACTTGGATATAATTGTTGGACCATGCTTCGAGGAATTACAAACTATTTGCCAGCAGGAGAATGTAAGGAATAAATGTGTAATGTGTTTTTAGCAAAGCATGAGCTCTAAATTACTTTTATTTATGTTACAAATAAATATCTTTTACTATTAAAGAAAACACCTGCAACACGTATACGCACGATTTTTCGGTTAAATATGATATCAACGTTATTTGCTTCACTGAACACTGATTTAGATGATGATGATCAGATTGAAGATTTGGAAAATGTGCAACCTGTACTTATGGTGATGCAGAAAACAATGCCGATATTCCAAAAAATCGCTGAACTTTGGGTAGAAGAACTAGATGTGCTCGAGGTGATATATATATTTTTTAAATCACTATCTAAATATTCTGTTAAATGTTTTAAATTTTTACTTAATTTCCATGTAGACTGCTTGCTCCGCTTTGCAACATGCAATTGTAAATTTGAAACATGGCTTTCGACCTATGCTACAGGACCTTTGTTGTTTTATTGTGGCTATTTTTCAAACACGTTGCTGTGCACCAACATTGGAAATTTCAAAAACGGTTAATGTTATTTTTTAAATTTTTTTTTATATTAAAAATATAAATCATATTTTCGTTTACATCTTTTTATAGGCAATCATAATATTTTATAAGGATGAAGGATGCAAGGCGTTAATGCAACAACTTTTAGTAGAACTAGTAGTTCACAGTTTTAAGTTGTTCGATGTAAGTTAGAGCATATTATTATTATAAACAATAATGTATTAATAATGACAATTACCCCAATAGTCCACACCAGATGATGGTTTCTCAAACATTGCCGACACAATAGAAATGTTTTACGCTTGTCTCATGCAAATTATTAAAAAAATACCACTAGCTTTGGATAATGAAGCGATTGCTTTCGACAGACTCATATACTATGCGTTAAAAGCAATGACACTGCCAGAAAATGGTCCCATACGTACCAGTGTGCAGTTCCTTTCCCACTTCGTTCAGCAATCGCGTAATTTTCCGGCTATGACACAAGCAGTATTAAATGCCGGCGAAGAGATAATTCGCACTGCAGTGTTGTGTGTAGCTTGTGTCACTCCGCGTCAACAAGTGGAAAAATTTGCTGATATTTTCCTGTCTATTAATAAGAAATATCCAGCTGAATTGGTTTCCTGGCTTAGATCAGTAATGCAGTTGCCAAACTTTCCCTCTCTGCTCGTTGATGAAACTGAGAAATCAAAATTTGTTACGTTGATTTTAAGGTGAGAAGAAGAAAGAATGCATATATATATATATATGTATATTTATAATGATATGTATATGAATTCATTTTGTTCATTTTAGGGAAAAGGTCAACAAGCGTTTGGTGCAGAAACATCTATGTGACTTTGCGATAAAAGCGCGAGGTCTGGCAGATAGATTGCAATAGAGACCAATTAATTAGGGGCAAAAAATGAATAAATGAACGAAAGGACATCCTAATTGCCAAATTATAAAAATATTAAAAATAATTGTAGAATCGCAGTATTTGTTTTGCTGTCCCGTTATACAATTATAGAAATAATTTAAGGTTTTTTTTTTTTAATTTTAGGTAATAGTGCAACGACACTAATTTCATTATTTAATTTTAAATTCATTCAATTACTTATAAAAAGATTTGCCGTGAATTTATGTTCAACATTTTATTTATGAATGTCATATAAGTACCTTAAATTATTGTTGTAAAAAAAAAGATGAGTCCAATCAATAAAATCGGTAAAATTCTACATGTTTTTTTGTCATTAAGTTATGATTCGATATCAGTTATTGTCACGGCTTAATGGTTAGGCAATGATTTAGAATTACCTAGCAATAACCAATTTCCAATAACTGTATTTTAATAAAAATTGTTTAAAAACGTATTGTTTAATTAAATTATGATATTTACTTACATATGTATGTAAACTAGTTTAAAACTTAATTTCGCGTACGTAAATACCGATTTTTAATTATATTATGTAATATCAAGGTAGTTTATGTAGTTTTGAATGACGGTATGTGTGTATCTGTTTGAATATTTGCTCCATAATACACATTTTTGACACGTAAAAGCCTTTATTTAATTTTTTTCATTCTAAATTAGTTTTTTTTTTGTTCCGCAGCAAATACATTTGCTTAGGGAATTTTAAGAAATTTTGTTAATAATCAGTTGAGGTCACTATACAATTCATCGGAAGCTATGTTGTTATGCTATGTATTTTTGTTTGTAATGAATGTTTGTCTTTGTCAGTATTTAAATATATGCCTACATATATACGAAAATGTGTGGGTGTACAGAAAATACGATATGCGGCATGTGATAGTAGTTTGTTACAAATATCTCCTACCCATAACCAATGATATAGTGATGCTTTCAAACGATGTTTTCGTATATATAGTTTCTACATGAAATAAATAAAAAAAATCTGTGTTTGTGGTACTGCGTTTTTTGTGTAAATCCTTAATACATTACAAATTTCAAACTTACTATGATATGAATGTATTTAATCTGACACAAATAATAAAAAAAGTATATTTTTAAGCTTGGTTATGTGCTTGTTTTTCATTATACTATGTGTATATTTTGTATTTTACATACCATGCGGTTTGAAAGGTAAAGTATGAAATCTTTTTATGCGAAAATTCGGCCGAGCTACTCTTTTCGTTTTTTTACGGTTACGGACGGTCGTTATCTATGTTGCATCAATGTAGACACCAGCGACGAACGAGACGCAATTGAAGCAATTACAGGTCTGCCAAAACACCGCCTTTACTACCACGAGAGGAAACCTTCTAAACGCCATTCTTCAGGGGTCAGTTGACACCTACAAAGACCAATCACCACCCATAGCAGACGAAGAGCTCGAGCTGTCTCGAGAGACCCGCGTAATAACTGGCCTAACTTAGGTCTGGATATTGTAGCAGGTTAAACTCCTACTTATCCAGACTCGACCGCAACATACCCAACTTAAGTCCAGCATGTAATGAGTACTCGCACGACACTAACCACCTCTTTATATGTATGTTCACTTAGTTCTGGTTTTTATAGTAGATTAAGTTCTAGACCCGACCCCGACTTATCAAACATATGTATTGCTTACAACGAGTTCTCGCACGGCAGTAATCTCACTCTTTGCATGCCATCAAAAATCAACTCATCTACCTCCCTTTCTATCTGGTCCGCATCCGTCGAAACAACACGTTTCCTGGACCTACCGTTAGATGACTTCGATGGCTTGGACTGATCTACCCTGCCTTCCGCTACTACTTCAACAACAACAAAAAAAATATTAGAAAATAAAAGCCATATAACGTTATATTTTTTTAGCTTCTTCTTCTTCACTATGACATATTTTAGAATTTTAATTTTCATTTCTGTTAGTTTCTCCAATCAAAGTGTTATTATCTACAGGTGAAACGCCTCAATTATGCATTTTTTTGAAACACACATTTGTTTATTTATTAAAACAACAACATTTTCAAAAATAAAATCATTTGCATATATCTTTTGTTATTACTCATTTTTATTCATAAATTAGATATAGTTTATCTTTCTTAAATTTAAATATTTGTGTATTAAAAGTAGTTAACACATTTCACTGTAAAGAAGAAGAAAAAAATAAATAAATTAGTTAGATATATATTGTTATTATATTAGTTCGTTGTAATAGTTTGTATTTGATTTGTATGTAAATAGAATTTTTTTAATACCTGCATATGTATATATGTCAATTACAAAAGCAAAATCTCCTGAAAAGCATGCATAACTCAAATTGTTTAAAGAGTAATATTAAACAAATTCAATGGATTTCATTACAACAATGTTGGCTAATGAAACTACAGCCAGATAATTTTGCAACATACGAGTACATATATAACAAGGGAAAGCATACTAAAAGTTTGCTGGATTGCAGCTCCATAATTGCCCCAGAAAGCAATAAAGCATGCGCATATCATTAATGAGCTGTAGAAAAAAGCTTGCCGAGGCTTACAAAATGCGAAAATCAGTGCAGACTTTTGGAGCTCTTTAAAATCAAAGAGCTTTAGATTCTAGGGAGAATCAAAGAACTTCAGATTCTAGAGCTCTTAAGTTTAACTGCTAACCAAATAAAATTTCTTGTGTTTTTCTGTTTAATTGAAACAGCAAAACGTGAAATTCCAGACTTATGAGCTAGTGGTAGCATTTTTCAATTCTCCTACGATATATATAGATATATACTGTATATATGCTTATGCATATGTGTATTTGTAAGTAACACATATGGAGATAATCAAATAAAATCATCAAGTAACGGCGAAAGAAAAATTGAACACTCTCAATTTGATTTGTATTTCCCTTTATTTTAGTTACATTTTTGGAATTAACTTTATTAACTTTAATCAAGGACTCTTTTGTAACGTTATTGATACTTAATTCTATTGTATATATGTATGTATATGTGTTTTACCTACATATATACGTATGTATTTCAACTCAATATATTGTAATAAATTGCAGTGTTCACTCCTGGCATATGTATGTAAAAATATACCTACATACGTATGTATGTATGTATGTGTTACTGCGTACGTATAACATATACATATATTGTGTATATATATATTAATTAATCTTTTAAAATATATACGTTTATAAATTGAAACCCATTTCTATATATGTATATAATTTCATCAACAATATGTGGGCATTAAAAAGTAATTAGTGTGACATATAAATATTATTTACTTATGTTGGAGTGTTTTTAGTACAATAAACATGTATGTATATAGAAAGCACTTAAAACAAATTGTGTGCTTATAAATTTAACTTTATTTTTAACTGTTCAATTTATATATATAGCATGGATATACAATGAATCTTTCCCTAACGGGCACCTCTAATAAGCGGGCACTTTTGCAAATCCCTTTAACTTTTTCCCATACAAATTCAATTCTGATGAACGTGCACCTCTATTGACCGTGCGAAAAATTTGGTCCCGTTGGCGCCCCCTTATGGGAAGCTTCACTTTATATGCAATGTATTTTATAGCTGCTACAAGCCCAAATACTACAAACAAGTATGCAACTGACGTATCTGTATAATTTCTTTTAAGATTCTTTCACATTTGTCACATATAAAAAATAAAAAGTGAAAATATTGAGCACTCAAAAATATTTATTCGTGTTTACATCTTGTAAAACAGCGTTTTTGATTTGAATTTAGAGATTTGTATACATTTTCTGTATTATAAATAAACCGGAATGAAAAATATTTTGTATAATAATGCTACAAATAATTTGTAAAATATTTCATTGTTAATTATATATAACCTTTCTATCTAGGTTTTCGCATTTATTTATAGTTTTAAACTTTTTTATGTATGTATGTATGTATATATGTATGTATACACCAGTGTTACGCCAATTCTAATTTATAATTGATTATTGCTTAATTAAATTTGTTGCAACGGTAATTTAATGAGAATTCAGCTTTAGTATATTTTATTATAAATACGCTTGAGATGATAGTTTTCTTTAAGCAATTATTACTTTTTCATTGTTCAATTGCTTTCGACTTTTTTAAGAAATAATAAGTATATTAAAAATTTAATGCATTACAAACAGTACTGGTATTTACAAACTGGAGTGCTCAAAATACATACATACATACATGTTTACTTTGTACCACTCTACTGTAGAAGAAACATGCATTCTGTTGCATGTAACATACACACATACTCGCATATGCATACGTAAACATTTATGTGTGCTTCAATCAATGAACATAAATATTATATGATATTAAAAAATTTATATATTTATGCATATCCAGCTAAAATAAAGTAAGTCAAATATTAATTAGATTAACCATGTTTTAATATATGTGTGTTGATTTTCAACATTCCATCGATGCAATATAATATATGTATTCTTTTCCATTATTGACTTCCTTGTATATTTCTTTAGTTTAATATTTGTTAACATCTGGTGGTGTCTTCAAGTAGTCATCTGTTCGTTTATGTTCGAATAGTGCACGTATTGTGCCACTGTCTGTCGGTAAATCCGATTTCCGACGCAATAACGGCTTGTCTTTATTACGTATCTGTATTGAACAAGTAGTTTTGCAAGATTCAGAATGTACATACATATATAATACATATAAGGTATTACATTAAGTTTTTAAACCATGTTTATACTTTCATCCATTGTTTGTATGTATGTATGCATATGTGTAAGTGGATATGAATGTAGTGTTGACATGTTTTGTTAAATTTACTAAAATTTGCTTTCGGGTTTAAACTTTTTCGAAATGGTTATACAAATATTTACATTCAACTGTTCAATGGGCATAATATTTTTTATAATATTAATATGCTTAGCTGTGTGTGTATGCCACCAAAACCAGCGAATTGAAAGTCCTTTACATAGAGTTCGATAGTTTTTTATATTTTACATTTACCCAAATAGATGAATATGTGATTTTTCTCTTGTTAAAAGTGTTTAAAATAAATTCGATCACTTCTGATATGTTTCTCTTTTGGTCTTGAAAAACGTTTACAAATAAATATGTTTACTTTACGCACATAATAATTAGCTGTATTCACAATGCGAAGTTTGTTTAGTTTACATATATATGTTATATATATATATAATTAGTTAATGATATACAACAAAATAAGTGTGTTTTGTAATTGTTAATGTGAATAAACAAAGGTGCTACGGAGTGCTTTCAATCAAGTTTTTAATTTTACTCCAGTCACGTGAGAGTGAAATACTTTTTGGTAAGTCCTAACTAAGATAAAAAAAAAGTTTAATACATATTTATACTCTTTTGAGCATATTTCTAATTATAAATAAAATATCCTCATGAAAATTTAGCGGCTGTTCGGAGGCAGCTTAGAGTAAACTGTGGGTCGCCTCGGCCGATAATCCCTTCAGGTGTTGCAAAACTCCACTTATATATATATATTTTGCTCATTTTTTATCGTTCGTTTTTGCATTGTTTTACATTACAGTATATTCTTTTGTAAAAGGAAAACGAATTTCTAATAACAAATAAGAAATTTTTACAGATGGTTGTTACAGATAGAGTGAATAAGTATAATTAGATCGCAAGAAAAACTATAAATTTTTCATTTTGAAACAATTCTTAGTGCTTGAAAATTCATTATTCATTGAAAGCATTAAAATCGGCATGACTGAATATAGAAAGTTGGATGAGCACTCGCTAAATTAATTAGTTCGGAGTGTAAAGTATTTATACCGAAAGTTTCTTTGAAGAGGCAGACATGCGCCGCCGAAAGACACTTAAATATTCATAAAAAAAAAGTAAATTAACTTAGCTTACGTAAGATTATTTTGGTGTATGAAATGAGGCTGCACATAAAATGCTTTTTCAACGTTACAGCTTTCCCGTAAAGCATACCACAATAACCTATGAAAACACCAAAGCCTTTTATATTACACAAGAAGTCCACAAATGGCTCTGTTATATAGAGGTGGACTTGCTGGTCGGACTAAATGAGACATTTTTAATTTTTGTTCAAACCTTTGTTGATGTTAATGTGAACACAAAATATAATTGAGTGTTGTAAATTAATATGATTAGTGATTATTAATTGTAAACATATTAGTATATTATACCAACTCATATATTTACTTATATTTGACAGTAAACAACATTTTACACAAGCAAGGAAAAACCAATAAACAATTAGAAAGTATAAGAAGTAGCTAAACAGGAAGGATACCTATATATGTACGTACAGCAAGTGATATTCAAATATAATGATACTAATGACACTACATACAGTTAGAATGTGCACCTTTTCCCCTTTCTTTACACCACACAATTTTCCATTATGTTTATTTTGTACACATAAATTGGCTTACCTCTCTAGTTTCCTGTGCTGTTTGCTGTTGTTGTGGTTGTATCTGTTGCTGTCTACTTTCTTGTTCCAATTTGTCATAAGTAAGATCACAATTCTCATTTTCTTCAAACTCATTTTGACTACTTGAAATACTTAAATTATCCATTTGGCCAACTAGCTTCGGCCACTCCGGATTACTTTTGGCCAAAGACTCCACTTGCATCCAAAGCTCCTCGCGTTGTGACATTTTTTCGCGTTCCCTAATTAGTTGATAAATTAAATCGACGTTAAATTAATATTCTTAATACAATAAAGAGAAACATGTATTTACATTTGCTTTTCTTGTCGATAGTTTCGACTGCATTCGTCGAAAAGACGCTGATTCATTTCCATGAACAGTTTAAGTGCATTATAAATCAGTCCATGTATCGTCTTATTCCAATGCGTTTTTGAGTTACGATTCAAAGCCGGGAACATTATGGGCAATATGACTTGGGAATTGTCGGCAATCAACGACATTATATACTCGTTATTCCAGTAATAAAGCGCTCGTTCTGCCACCTGGAAATGCGGTGAAGAGACACATTTGGCGATTTGCCGAAATAATGGTTCCATGACTTTTTGAAATTCAGCTGGTTCAATAACATCAAGCAGCTCCTCCAATTCATTCAAAAACATAACTTCTTTAGGACTGTGAGTTTTAGGCCAAAATTTCAAAAGACTCCTGCAAATAAAATATATTAAGTACCATATGAAATAATAATCAAGTACTTTGTAATTTTTGATTTCTAACCTTATGACTGGTTCCGATAGACTCGGATCTTTCTCCAAAAATTGAACTACACAATATGTTAATTGTGGATGATAAACTGATAGGCTTTTCGCTTTGTGCAATGGTAATAGTACTTTCAGCAAGAATTGTTTGTGCTCCTCTTTAAGTGGCAAGGCGAAACCGTTAATAATACTACCGAGAATTTCTAAAAGTTCAGCAATGCCATTATGATGCTCGGTCTCATAAATGAAACTATAAATATATAAAGCATAAATTTACATTTTAACAAACGTTTTTCTATTGCATATATATGTGCATACCGATAAAATACGTTATTGATTTGCTTGCGTATAAATGCTCTTAAACCCAAAAACTTCCCATAGATACGATGCAGTACAGTCTTTAGGAAATCACGCTCGCGTGGATCCTCCGAATCGAAAAGGTCCAACAACTGCAACACAAATTGATGATCGATATAACGTTTAGCGATATTTGGCTGAAAGTCTGGTGATTCGAGGAAGCGTAGAAAGAGTTCATAAACAAATTGTAGATGAGGCCACGATGACTCCAGCGTGGGTTCATCTTCCTCGGGATCGAATTCAGCACCGTTAGGATTGGATGATGGAGGTAATGTGCGAAATAGATTTACCGCAAACTGTAAATAAAATGATAATTATTTTTTTTTACATTTTTATGACAATCTCCATTTAAAATATATCTGACGATACCCACCATATTTATTGCCTCCGGATAGATTGCCTCTGTAATAACGCCATTCTGATTAGACAGATACTCGACCATTTCATGCAGCGCAGCACGCTTCACCTCCTTCCATTTTAGGTCGCTTAAGGGCTCGGAAAAATCGAAGAGCGTACAACATTGTCTCAACTTTTGTATTAAAAGTTGTTCTCGTTCATTTGTGGGTGTTTCTGTGATTAAAATAAAAATTAATATATTTATGTATCGCCCAAGCACAATAAAATTAAAAAAAAAAACATATGTAATAAATAAATATATAAACAATTATTTATTTAATAAATCAACATATAACAAAATAAATAAAATGTTATTAAAGAAGAAATGAAATAATAAGATTTTCATCTAACCCTCATCTGCTTCTTCTCGCGCAGGGAACTACTGAGAACTACTCAAGTGCAATAAGTTTTTGAAATTTTTATCATTTTATTTATTTATTTTTAGTATTTTAGAGCAGTTTTTGAGGAAGTATTGTACAAAAAACTTACTTTAGTTTTCCATTCTTTTCGTGGATTTCTACGCATGAACGATGTTGAGGCGGGAATTAAATCACTTTACTTTCACTTGGTTTAAGTATAACTGACTCCACAATCTGTAGAGCGTTTATTTATATAAATTTGTAATGCGAAAATTTACATGCATGCATATGTGTACATAAGTATGTTTACATTAGAAGATTACCCACGAATAGATAATCTTATCTTATGTTTTAATTTTTATTGCTTTACATATTCATGATAAGAACATCAGTATACATAGATGCTTATGTTGTTGTAAAGGCATCAAGTATCAATATTCATATCATGAGTATGTGTATATGGACATCTGTTTGTACTTTAATTTTTATTGCCTGGCCTATAAATGTCATACAGCATATGAATTTATGGCCATACATTTTAATTGCTGGCTTATCGTTTCGGAAAACTAAACAAACGACGTTCTACAATTTTTCGCCGGCGAAAGAGTTGTTTGCCAATTTTTTTTAGGTAAATATTAGCGAAGTAGGAGTTTTAAAGAAATAAATAAAACTTTAATCAGTGAGATTCTCAAAATATTTTTGGGATTAAGAAGTGGAACAACTAGCAATGCCGGTAACGAAGATTATATTGCAAATAGTTTAACGCTGGATTACTATTTTGCTAACAGATCCGATAACGAAGATTAATTTGAAATCATGATAATGGGAATGATATATCGATAGCTCACCTGTATTGCAAAATGATTGGTTCGAGTTCGGAAATCACTCAACAAATAACAGTGAGAAAGGATCTTTACAAGGGCTCTGACTTACTCTTGTCGTACCGTATCTCAGCTAACTTATGTTGATAACTCTGTGAATTCTCTAGCACCCAAAATAGGGGTTTCCAATAAGAGCTGTTATTTTGCATAGCCTACTAATTTGGCAGAAGTCATTTTTAAAGCTGTAACTTTTTGACATTTGATCATCGATTAATTAAGGGAAAAGTTTCTCTACATATCAAAACAAAACATCTCTTATTGGGAAACTCTTAATATATTTACGCCTGAGGCTACTAATTTTAAATTATTTTTTCCTAATGGTAGTCACCCCTAGGAAGGGGTTATTATTAGTATAGTTTTGAAAAGAAATTAAATTATAAAAAATCATTAGCCATTCGGAGGCAGCTTAGAATAAACTATAGATCACTCTATCACTTGTTGCATAATAAAAGCATTCCGACTCGTTAATAATTTACACAACAAAGTCATACATCAAGACCAAAACTACAACCGATTTTCGAGGGCTGTTTAAATTCAACTTGAGTAAATCAAAAATCTGGTTGTTAATGTATTTTTCGATGTAGTTGTCTGATATTCATTTTTATGATATCCATCCAAAACCAATTTGAAGGTTAAAAATGAAAAAAAAAATATGTTTTAGAGATCTCTGGAAAAACTGAAAAGGAGAGAACCCAGAGTTCGATCCTGCTTCGATTAACACCCAAAAAATAAAATTAATTTTGCTTATTTCGGGCGCCCTTCAACAGGGAATGCCGGCGCTTCAATTTACTGGAAAAAACATCGAGACGTACACTGCACATTGAAGGAAGAGCTCGGCTGATTGGGGGAGGGGTTAAAAAGCTCTAATTATGTATATATTATAAAGGGATTTTTAATTTTGTGGAAAAGTGGCCACTCTCAGACCGATTTCATTAATACTTGACACCAAAAATTCTTGTAATATATTATTATAAAATTGTACAAATCGAAAGACGTCTATATCTCTCGTTCAATAATAAGTTAGACATATAAAAAAAATTGCATTAAATCAGTAATCAATAATGCAAATGAAGTCAAGTTATGTGGCAATGGTCGAGCTAAGGTACTAAATGCGGAAATTTTATTTTACTTTTTCGAAAGGTCACAAACCCGCGGATACCTTGTTATATAGTTTTTAAACCCAAATATTTCGAGCGTAAACTAATCATATTCATACAAAATTTTATGACATACAACCCTCTTAGCAGATGGTTACCTATCAAACATGGTGAAAACGGACAAAAACCTCAGCCACCTCCAATTAGGAGGAACATATTTTTCCGACGCATTTATCAAATTCCCAATAGCTTCAAAAAAGCGAGAGGTTAAGAGAAAATAAAAAATAATATATTACAAACAAATACAATAAAACTCGTTTTATTATAGCAAATAAATGATAATTATATTAATAATAATAAAGTCTTAATCATTTTCTTTTTTTTATTGAATAAAGTGCTATCATGTGACACTTCATAGCCATCAAGCAATCTTTTGCCGTTTCTCAGATTTATGCGTCATAAAGTTGTGATGTAAAAATGGAAGAATTTCCACCTTCGAATGGATTTTGTTTCGTGTTGAAAATACACTCGGATGCTTTGCGATAACATTTCTTCAGAATTCCTAAATTTTAATTCATTTAAAATATTTATTTCTTAATGCTTGATACCCTTAATACACATTCAAATAAAAAAAAAATAATACCGTGATGGAAAAGTTATTTTAGCTATTTGTTTTCTAACGAAAGAGATAAGAAATGGAAATTTGACATTTGCATAAATGAATTAATAACAAATAAGAAGAAGAAAGAGCTCTTCGGCTCTCTTTATACCTACCATGAGCAAAAAAAAAACTTGGTTATTTTTTGTTTACTTTCATGGCGTAATCACTTTTCTGAACACAACCTTTGTATGCTGGGAGTCTAGTTGTTTTCAAACATGGCGAAATTATTTAAGTTCGTCATTTCTGATCTTATCGGTACAAATTTTGAGGAGCTATCTCTGCTCCTACTGGTACTTATACGCTACGGACCGAAGTTAATATATCATTTTATGTTCATGAAAGGTATAATAATAAGATGACGATGAAAATTTTCACGATCGGATACCAGCTTTCAGGTCATTTCTGCTTCTGTTAAGTAATTAATTATTCAAGTCAAAGAATGAACCATCTACCGTTTGATTTTTGAGCTACAGCTTATTTGAGCTTTGACATCTTCAATGACATGGATGTTTGGATGGAAGAAAATTACGTGCGAAATTCGGGCGAAACGACTCACATTAACCGCAAAAGTATTCCCGAAAGTGGTTTTGAGTAATATAGCGGTAGAGACGGTCCTGAACCAGATAAAAACTTGATCGTTCCGGTTAAAAACCTCGACTGTCTCGTGAAATATTGAGTTTTAGTCAACTCTTACGACAGACATGCCATTCCGCGGTTAGATTCTCGAATCCCTATCACAAAGGGGTGGCAGTTCGTGGATCAATTTGTACAACGAGTTCGTCAAACCGGTACATTAGCGAACAAATGAACTCGCTTAGGGGTTTTCCTGTGCCTTCAAAGAAAACCATACAGAGACGATTCATGACATGAAACGTGAAATTGAATTATCCATCGAAAATTTGCTGACTAAAGACTACCATGCTAACGGATAAGAGAAAGAAAATTGCAATGTTTAGTTTTGTGATCTTCTTTGGGCCATCCTAACGCTATTTCATCAGCCTGTAATGAGCAACATATGAATATACTCTTAGTCATGTATGTTTTATTGATGCCATATGGCCTTGGACTTGAAACTACACCGAGAATATAAAAATCTCCAACGAAATTTATAAATATATATATACACATATTGAAATGTGAAAGTAAAAGAAAAATTCAAAACGAAAGGTGACGCAGACCACGCTATCTATGTAAGCAGATTTATAGCAGAAATATACGAGATGCCAAGAAGTTTAATCACAACAGACAGTGCAAGACGTAATCGGAAGAATAGTCTTACCTAATGCACTTAATTTCTCTTGAATTTTAATGTTTTTATTTTTAAATACGGGATGGAAAAAATTAATATATATAAAATAAAAAGGTAAATACTCAATAATTGGAACAGATATAAAATTAGTGCACAATTCTGTTCTATTCTATTGGTCAACCAGAAAAATCGAATATAGTGTTGTTGTAAGGTTCCTTACCAAGCAAGGAAAATCAGTTGCGACCGTAATGAATGAGTTTCCATTGATTAACGACAACACTTGTCCGGCAAAAACCCTAATAAACAACTAGCTCAGTTGATTTAAACAAGGACCTGCGCACGACAGGAGATCGACGTGACCACGCCAGCATTTATACAAAAAGTTAAAACAAAATGGTTTCGACGATACCCGACTAAAGACGAAACTATTCGCATAAATGGTCGGAGTGTCTGATACACTAATTTTTAAAATCCTACATGATCATCTTGGCATTACCAAGGTCAACGGAGCATGTGTGCCAAGAATACACACGCCAGCGTAATAGCAACAGCCCTGCTCTGGCGCTGGCTGCCCTGCTTAGGGTGGACTTCGCTAGTTTGAATCACCCACCCTAAAATCCAAGCCTGGCTCCGAGTGATTATTAATTGTTATCAAAAATGAAAAAAGAGCCGAGAGTAAAAACGAATTCATCGATGATGAATTCAAGGAGAATGTTTCGACGTATTTTAATTATAAAAAGAAAACATTTTTTAAGATGGTTTAAATGAATTTATTGAAAGATCTGAAACAAATTTTCGTATTTTTGATTTCCACCACTAATCCTCCATTCCGCAAAAATAAAAACGCTACATCGTATATATATGTACATATTGTAGTTCGCATTGCTTGCAGCAACAAAAAAGAAGAAAAATGGCGAAACTTCCTCCTACTTTTCCCAGTGGAAAACATTATGAAAACAAGTGTGGAAATCTAGCACTCCTTCAGCAGATAAAATTGTTCGCATTATACCTTTTATTACCATCGGAGCAACATGTTGCTTGCCTTGCTTATTTAATAAAAATAAAAGAGCGTTTGAAGAAATGTTCAAGATAGAAAGCATGAATAAAAGTGAGTATATTTTTTTTTCTAAAAATTATTTACAAAATTTTCTGTTCTTATGACTATTTATGTCACAGAGTAATCAGAATATTCGCACACAAATATTTATAGGCAATTAGTTTGGCGAGAATTCTCAGCTGACCAACCAGCGATGTCGTCACCGTCAACAAGGCGAATGCACGACTTCTAAAATGTAAAATGTGTTTATTTGGGGTTTGTTTATTTGCGTACATTTACGTGTGTTTGATGCACACATATATATATGTGTACTTAAATACATACATACATACACGTAGAAATATTCCCTTTTGCACATTGGTGCCAATGCGCTAATTTTAAAGTGGCAAAAAAAAATAAGGCAAAACTGCAATTCAACGTAATCTCCTCTCCGCCACTATCAGAGCCATAGGCAGAAAAAATAAAGAGAAAAAAAAACATTTACGTATTGTGTCGAATAGTAAAATAGCAAAAACAACACCAGATCGCGCTAATTTGTTGCCTCAGAACAGTGGTATGCACTTGTTTGCTCTCTTGGGTTTTTATTTAGATTCATTGAATCAAAACAAAGAAACATATTTACATATGTATGTTTTTACATACGTTTGTGTTTAACATGAATGTATGACGATCAACCGCAAGCAAAGGACCAACCAAATACTGACCATTTAATACTCATCAGCAGCGTTGACGGTTTAGGTTTTTTTCTTTGTGTAGCTAGAAAAATTATAATTTAGGCTTTGGAGTTTTCGTATTAGCTTTTTTTTTTTTTGAAAAATTCACAAAGTAGACATATTAAAGTATATGGTTATTCATTTTGTGACTTCAAAAGTACAGAGTTGCATTTTGACATCTGTCAAAGTAAACTGTCAAATCAAAAATGTTTTACAACGCGTTAAAAATGTTAAAATTCACTCCAAAAAGGGGTGATACAGATGAGCGTTGAGGCTCATTTCTCACTTGAGGAATACGTAAATAAGCAAAAATATCGCATTTGGGACTCCGAGAATCTAATTGAAGAGAGATATTTACACCCAAAAAAAGAATGTACAATGATTGGAACTTACTTTTTTGAAAACATTAACTGCGAGACTGTCTCTGTCAGTTCATAGCGTTATGATAAGCGACTTTTTGTGGCCGGTAGTCGAAGAACACGATTTGGACCAAATGTAGTCTCAACAAGATGTTGCCACGTGCCACACAACACGAGCGAGAGAGATTTCCCCACCTCGCAATTTCTCGTTTTGCTGATGTCAATTGGCCAGCGAGATGGTTTGATTTGACACCCTAGAACCTTTATTTTATTTCTTTTTATTCTTGGAGCTACGCGTCAGACCGTGCTTATGCGCATAAACCTTTAACTTTCGAATATTTGAAAACCAACATTCGTCACTCGTCGTGATGGCTGAGATACCGCCCAATATGTACCAGAAAAGTGGTCAAAAATTATCTCAAACAGATCGAAATTTGCAAAAATCTGTGAGGAAATAATTTGTATAATGTAGTGTTCCACATTTAATCCCAAGGTTTAAGTTTTATAATAAAAATAAAGGAAACGAATTTTAAAAGCATTTTATTTAAGTTTATTTTCGAAATCGCAAAATGGATAACTCTGTTTATTGCACTCAAAAGTTCGTTAGCGATTATTATATTGTGTAGCAGCTGGAACAAGTTGACCCATGATCATAGAGAATTTCTCTTGAAATATTGAGTTCAAATAAAAAAATTGGTGGTATAAGCATTACCTGGAAGGGCGTTCTGAAAAATGGTTATGAACTATCGCCGAGTTATAATGGAAAAAATCACTCTTGATGTTGGCATATCGATTGCATTATGTCATGACATTTTTTCCAATATTTCAGGTATAAAACACGTGACAGCAATAATTATAGAATTTTGAACAAAAACAGCGGCGAATGAGAGCTGCTCAGGAAGTACTAAGCGATGATACAGATTTACTGAAACATATTATAATATTGGATGAGTGCATAAGTTCGTGCCCGATTCCGCTGGATGCCGTTCGAATCGTTTGAGAGTGGCGCTCGTGAAAGAAATATATACAAATTATATATCGTTGGAAAGGTGACAGTCCGAACTGTAAATCAAGCATAAAATAACTTCATTTTGATTTGAGTTGCTTAGTGAAAAGACGCATGGAAGATGGGCAACGAAAAAGATCATATCCGTCATATTATGTTATACTCATTCCGCAAAGGAAAAACAGTAGGCGCTGCAACTAAAGATATTCGCGAAGTTTATTTGGACTGTGCTCCAGCACTCCGCACAGTAAAGAAATGGTTCGCGAAATTTCGTTCTGGAGATTTTAACCTCGAAGATCAATCTCGCAGTGGACGGCCTTCGGAGCTTGATGACGATGTTCTAAGGAGTTTAGTTGCGAATAACTCACGTATTTCGACGGAAGAGGTTGCCAGTGAATTGAACGTCAACAAATCAACTGCGTTTCGTCGTTTAAAAAAGGTTGGGTAAAAAAATGCTGATTTTTGCTGCTGACGAAGTGAACCGTATGTCAAGAGCAATTTCTTTGCTTCGACGGATCAAAAACGAACCTTTTTTGGATCGGCACGTGACTGGTGATGAAAAATGGATCCTGTACAACAATATTCAACGCAAAAGAACATGGAAACAGGCACACGAAGGGGCGGAACCGATGTCGAAAGGTGGATTGTATCCAATGAAGGTACTGCTGTGCATTTGGTGAGATATCCGATGCGTGATCTATTTTGAGCTCTTGCCAGCTGGAGAAACGATCACTGCCAACAAGTATTGTCAGCAATTGGTCGAATTGAAGAAAACAATTGATGAAAAACGTCCGATTTTGGCCAATCGCAATGGAGTTCTTTTTCATCATGACAACGCCAGGCCACATGTTGCTAAACCGACCCTGGCCAAACTGAAGGAGATGAATTAGGAAATCATGCCGCATCCCCCATATTCACCTGACATTGCACCTTCTGATTATCATTTGTTTCGATCGCTGCAGAACAATTTGAATGGAAACAAATTTAAAAATGTAGAAGAGGCAAAAACCACCTGACACCTTTTTCAACGAGAAACCGCGCGATTTCTATGAATCAGGCATCCGTAAATTGGTTGAACGTTGGGAGTGGATTGCCGAACATAATTGATTAATAAAAGCGCTTTCTTCGAAAAATTTTAATTTTAGTTTGCACTTGAAATCGGTCACGAACTTATGCACTCATCCAATAGTTGACGAAACAAGGGCTAACGGATATGACGAGACTATGACCCGAACATTGCAGTTTAGGAATTCTGGGACGGTAAAGGGCTCGACAAAAGCGGTCCAACGTAGGTGAAGCCTTTGTTCACTGTGTTCTTCGATTTTAGTGACATGAGGCATTATGATTTCCTGTCAACAGGTTGAATGGTCAAGAGGAACGTAACCGCAAAAAAAAAATTATGGCTTTTGCAACAGGACAATGCATCTACATTGCTTCTTCATAGATTTTTAGTGAAAATAATATTATATCGATGCCCCAGTCTCCTTATTCGCCAAACATATCTCTGTGTGACTTTTTCTTTTTTCCAAAAATAACGAGAACCTTGAAGGGCCATCGTTTTACAGCCGTACGTAGATCATATAAGCGCATAGCTGAATGAAGTAAGCCTATTTTAAGACTCACGAAGTGGCCAACTCCTGTATGAGCATTTGAAATATTAACATTTCACCTATTCGAACTGATTTAGTCAGAGTGTGCAAATAATTTCCGATGCTCTTTTAATAGACGAACCTATGTTTGCTTGTTTATTTATTTCGAACTTTAATTTGCTCCATGCGCATCTGTGTTTTGAGTCAATTGTTCTATTTTTCAGGTCACTTATGGTTGTCAACTTTTTATAGAAATATAAAAATCATACGGCGGCCGACTCGGGTTCAAGTCCCCGTGCGACCAACATCGAAAAGTTGTAGAAAGTTTATTTAAATAAAAAACTAAGCTAAATTTTCTAATTGCGGTCCCCCCTTGGCAGGGTATGTGAACTTCTCCGAGTGTATTTCTGACACGATATAAAGCTCCTCCTAATAAAACCGTTCGGAGACAGCTTAGTTGAAAAAATATCAAGATGCAAACCCACGATTTGGAGGAGGAGCTCGGCCGAAAATCGCTTCAGCGCTTACAAAGCACCAATCATATATAAATAAAACTCATACCAAAGTTAAATTGTAAAAGATTTCGCTCTATGAGATAACGAAATATGTCGGGCTTAAGTAGTCCGAAAAAAATGCAATTTGTTACAGTTATCTGCGTACATAACTATGGAAGACTTAAGAATGATAGCCTAGCACTTTTAAAAACTATATGTGAATACTTTTGGAAAAATATGAACGTACACTAAAAGATTAAAGTGAGCAAACACATAAATTTATCGAAAAATTAATATAATGCAGTGCGCATACATATTTATAATAAATGAATAAAATCAGTACAAAAGTGTTGACAACGAACGTTTCGGCAAAAGGAAAAATCATAAAAGAAAATTATGTTCATAAGCACCTCGTAGTAGTGGCAAAGTTACAGCCGCCGATGTGGTGGATGGTGAATGGAATAGATTACGGTCTCGTGCACGCCCAGGACTACCAGTGATTTGTTGCAAAGTTTGTGGCGTCAGAATGCCATTGCCGTTTGTGTTGTGATTACCGTTGCTATTAGTATTGTCAATATTTGCGCCGTTACCTCCACTAACACCAGCACCATCACCACTACCGTTGCCAACATCATTGTTGGAATCGTCGCCATTTTGAAAATGTGCTGCTATAGAGTTATTTAATCTGGCTGCTAAAGATGTTCCATTGCCACTGGACAATGACGAACCGGATGTTATGCTGTTACTGTTGCCTGCTGCAGCAGTACTACCACCACCACCACCGCCACCACCGATTCCCAATGAAATACTAATTCCAGTGACGATATTTTGTGCCACATTTGCATTGCCACTGCCTGAGGAATTCGCTGCTTGTCCTTGAACATTATTAAAACTACCCGCCGCCACAGCCGCTGCTGAGTTTCCAACGCTTTTTGTGGCATTCAAAATATTTTTGATCGCAGCTGCTGCACTCACCGGAGACTGCTCATCAATAATGAGAAATGCGGCGATAGAAATATTGGCATCCGTTACAATTTGATTTTATTTTATAAATCACCGTTCATATGATGATCGGGTGAGGTAATGGCGATGAATTAACGAATGTAATTTTTTTTTTTTTTTGCAATCAACGACAAATTTTAATAATAGAAGAATGATTTATTTTGTTTTTAATTAATGGGGAGATTAGAAAAAAGTGATGAGAAAAGAGTGATTATAAAAAGTTAGTGAGAAAATATGCAAAATCTTGATTATAAATTATTTCTATAAAGAAAATGATGCAATAGGACCGAGATCTACGTAAACATGCAAGGGGAGAATAAATTTGGGATAGTAAAAATTTATTTATTTTTCTTAACATTTATACTTATTTCTATCTAATTAAGCTCCACCTTGGAATCTAGGTTGCCTTTTAGCATGTTTTTTTATTTAGAGGACTCAAAAATCTGGGCATTGTAGAGTATGCACCTTGGAGAGTTACTGCAGACTAAAAATCAGACTTTGTGCTACGAGGATGCGTTTTTATGTTCGCGGATCGAGACGGTTGTAGGGGAGTGATTAGATTCATTAGAATCCCAACGAATTCAATGACTCATAATTAGTTGAAATACGAGGTGTCATTGTTTTTAAACAATTAGGTAGTATCTGAGCTTTGAGGGTGTGAGTGCTGGACCGACCAGCAAATGCGAAAACATTGAATTTAGATGCCATTGCTTAAGGGCGACTCTTGTACAGAAAAAACCATAATGTACAAGTGGTTCAGCTTATTTAAACAAAGAAGAAAGCCGGAGCATAGAGGTAACCACGCCAGAACTTATCCTCTAAGTTTGGAAAAATTGTCCTCAACGATGTTCGGTTAAAGAACAAAAGAATGCGTAGAAATGGTTGGAGTACCCTGCACGATTATCTTGGCCTGCTTAAGCTCAGCTGAAGATAGGTGCTGAGAATGCTCACGCCTACTCCTGAAACAACAGCACGTAGAGTGTTAATGCGCATTTTAGAACTTTCACCGGCCCCGAGTTCTAGTCCTGGTTCGGCCAACATCCAAAATTATAGAAAATTATTTTTCCCAACTGCGGTCGCCCCTCGAAATTAAAGCTCCTCTTAAAATTCCATTGTAGGACCCTCAGCCAAAACTAGCTTAAGCAATTACAAAGCGCCAATTATGTATTATGTAAAAAGAAGAGAAGGATGGTGTATTGAGGAGAATTGGTACTGGAGATGATGAAACTTGATGAACTTTGGATTAAAACAAGACTCCATGCAGTGCCATAAAACGGGCACAACACCTTCGAAGAAGCTTAAGGTGTCACAGTGAGCTAGCAAACTCATGGCAACGGTCTTTTGGGGCCCGTAAGAAATATTTTAGATCGATTAAAATTATAAAGGTGTTTCTATAACTGAAGAGTACCACGCTTCAATATTGGAACGCCTAAAAAAGAAAAGAGCCGCGTTGCGTTGCTTTAATATTCTGAATAATCCATCCTGCAACCGAGACCCTATCCTTAGTGATTATTATCTGTCTACAAAAAAAAAAAAAAAAAAAAAAAAACAGCTGGATGGCAAAACATTTGTCACCGATGATGTAGTCAAGGACGCAGTTTCGGCGTATTTTGAAGAGAAATTTTTTATGTATCCCTCTTGCAGGTAAAAAAAAAGGAAAAATACTTTATTTTTTTTTTTGTTTTCATCCCTTATCCCCTATTCCACGAACATTAAAACGCTTTCTCGTAGAAGAGCTGTAAATGTTAGTCAAAATTACTCTTTGCATTATTTCTAAAAAATTTTGAGGTTAAGAGAAGATGGAAATATTTTTTGAATTATCTGCATTTCTATACGGAGATATGATTTCTAAGAAATTCTAAGAATAACAATTGAACTGTTTATTCGACAATGCCGTCAATGGTCAGGTTTCAGTTTATATAAATATTTATTCAAAAATTTAAGCTATAACCAAAACCGCTATTTTAGGGACATCGAATTTGGAACGATTCACATCACATGCAGCCCGAATGTGGCAATCCGTTGTATAAAGATTAAAAGAACATTCAATATTCACACTTAAATATAAGGTTGTCAAATATCTCCCTTCCGCTTTTTTGCTCTTCATTCAATACTTTATAAAAAGTGTTAAAGTGATCGGATTTAGTTAAAATATGCGATGTTCGATGATCTGTTTCCATCTAGGCGGCAACTTCATAATACCTTCCTCGTAGAAGCCCCCCTCCTTATTTGCGAAGAATTCGGACAGCCACTTTTCACAAGCCTCTTTTCAGTTCAACTTTACACCACCAAGGGCATTCATCATGGACAGGAATAGGTGGTAATCACTTGGCGCTACGTCCGGGCTATATGGTAGTGCGATAAAACCTCCCATCCGAGCTCCCGTAGCTTCTGACGAGTCATCAACGAAGTGTGTGATCTGGCGTTGTCCTGGTGGAACACTACACCCTTCCTGTTGGCCAATTCTGGACGCTTCTGGTCGCGGATTTGCCTTTAACGAAGGAAAACTTTAAAAAGCGCGAATTTCGGCGTTAGTGAACTCCATGTTTACACGTCTATAACTGTTGAACGCAATATCCAAACTAATCATAGCGTTATTTTGTAGGACCTTTCAAATTATGTATAGTGTTGCCAGATACGAGCTCTGTAGCGCTTTGTACATAGCCGCGAAATTCAAAAGACAAATAAGCGGAAGGGAGATATTTGACAACCTTATATCATATATTGCCTTCAAATCTCAAAAGATGTATGGGGTTAAGATAGACAACCAAAAGTTGGTGCTCCTTGTCTAATTAAAGAATAAATTTAGAAAAAAAATTACATGCAATTAAAGTTCGAAATTTGTCAATATTATAATTTTGTTTGTTTCAAAAACATAAAAGATTTAGATTTTTTGCATTATAATCATATATATTGGGTATATGTAACCAAATTAAATATACATACATAACTACGACATCGGTTCATTTGATTCTACTATCAGTTAACTACTATTACATGAGGGATATGTCAATCAAACCTTATTGTTAGTGGTTAGTGATGATGAGGCGGCCGTCGAAAGCAGTGATGTGGCCGAGGTGGCAGCTGAAAAATGTTGTGTCAGAGTCGCAACAAGTGAAGATGACGTGCCCGTCGTTGATGCGGTGACAATGGCAGTGCTGACGTTATTGGCAGCCGCACTGCCAATACCAGCACCGACATTGCCGCCAACGACTATGTTAGGCATACCACCAACCACCGTGGTACTCGTTCCAGTCGAAGCCGATATGCTACATGCGGATGACGATGAGGAATATGAGGATGTATTGTTGGAAGCGTATGCAGCTGAGACGGCGTTATTGGAATTATATGTGGTATATGTCGAAGAGGATGTGTTGTTTGAATTATAGATTGAAGCAACGGCAGCGGAAACAATACCTGTGCTAATAGAAGCAGTTGTTGCAGTCGATATTGTGTTGTTGGTTGTTGCAATTGACACTGCGGCGCTGGCGGCTTGACTATCTGCTATCGGCTGTTGCTGATTCTGCTGTGGCATTGCTAGTTTTATATCACTGTTATCTCGGGTTGAGTGTAAACCGAAACCAGAATTTTCGCCACCAAGAAATTTCGCTTTGATTTCTTCAATATTAGTGAATTTGAATTTTATACCGCTGCCCGTTGAAGCAGTAGTACGCGTTATTAAACCGCTAACACCACCAACACTACTATGTGAGCTAACGTCGCTGTTGCGACCGTTGGCGTTTGGCAATTGTGTTCGATTGACGTATGAGTTGTCGTGCTTGTCGGCCAGTTGATCAAGCCCACTATGAAATGACGGAGACTTGGGTATGCCTAAGCCATAATAGCCGGCTAGGCAATTAGCGGTTGGTAGTGTTGTCGTGAATGTCGTTGTTGGATTGCTCGTTGCCGCAGTGTATACGACACTTCCTCTTGTAGTTGCTGTTGTACTTGTAGTTGATATTAATAATGGATTTTCACGCTTTGTCGCTAAAGTGTCTGTTGTGCTGCCTACAGTAGTTGTTGTTATTAAGAAGTTTGTATTGTTACCGTTATTGTTAATGTGCTGGCGAATAGCTGTGTGTTTATTACTCGCCGAACTAAAATCAATTACGTTAACGGATTTCACTGGATCACCACCAGATACGGTTATTGAGCTTGTGGCTGTGGTATCACTCCCACACACTGTGCTCAAAGCTTTTAACTCACTTTCCGTGTATCGCGCTATTGTTGCACGCTCTTGTGGTGGCTGGGGTATGTGGGACTGTTGTTGTTGCTGTTGTTGTTGTTGTTGTTGTTGTTCATAATGCTGTTGATGCTTGAAACCGGCTGAATTGCCCGCATAGTACTTGGCATTGAATACCATTTCATCAAAACTAATGCCAATTTGGTAACAAATCGCATTGCCACAACAACTCAAAATAGATAAAAACGCCCACGAAAAGCAACAACTTTATCTAAATGCTATATATGTATGTATATGTATGTATGCATGGGCAAGCGATTGCGATTGTTCTTGTTTGCAATGCATGTTTGTATGGAAGCAGAATTTTATTGTACTTTTCCTTCACTTTTTGCACTTGTTTTCATATTATTCGGTTTGTTTTATTATTTTATTGATTTTTCTTTTCACTTTAATTTAAAAAAAAAAAGCTATGAAAGTTTACAAAATTCCACAAGTTTTTATTTTTTTATTTTTTAGCCTTTTGGTTGCATTTAAGGTCGCCTATCACTTTTGAATTGTAACGTATTTTTTTCTATATATGTATATATGTATATTTGTACAATCTTTTTGCATATTACATTTATTCAATATTCATTAACTAAAGTATGTATTTCACTTGGGAAACGCATTTGCAGTAGCAGTGTATTTTTGCTGTTTGACGAAAATTACAAAAATACTTAGTTTAGCAAAATGCATTTATGTATGTATGTAGATATATTATATTAATTAATTTGTATGAAGCATACATACATATTAAAAAAATATAAAAAAAAATATAAAAAAATTAAACTCAGTGATTTTTAAGTAATCAAAATGAATATAAAAAAAATCATATATTTATGTATGTATGTATATATGACTTAGAGTAACCATAAAGTATCTATATATGAGGGGATTACCAAAAGTTCGATTAGTTGACCAGAAAAAATATTTTTTTTTTTGTATTTATTCGTAATCTTTGTCCTTTTTTATCTTTTCTCCAAAATCACCATTGATTTAAATGCATTTCTTAAGCCTATAAATCCACTTCTGAAAACAGTCTTCAAAATCTTGTTTTTTTCTAAGCTTATCAAGTTCAACGACTCCTCGTTGCTATTAAAGACCTTTCCTTTTACATTTTTTTTTTTTGAATTTTTCGAAATAAACAGAAATTCCAAGGTGCTGCATTAGGTGTATATGAACGTATTTCTTCGATCCCAGCGATCGCATTAAAATGACTCGTTATTTCATCAGTGTGGCATGGCGCGTTGTTATGATGTAAAAAGTAGCGCGGCAAATTCTCTTTCCTCCTGTTTTTCAACAATTTTTTTTTAAATTCTGGTAAGCACTCTTCGGTGTACCATTTTGCGGTAACCGTCTGTCCTTTTCCCAGTGGAATAGCAGCTACGATTTTAAATGGGGTGAAGTAAACTGACATCATTACTTTTGCTGCTGATTTTTGCTGCTGATTTTTGCTGCTGATTTTTGCTGCTTATAACATGGACCGCTGTTTGGTTTCTGGATCGTACTTAGAGAACCAAGATTCGTCACCAGTAAAGACTTCACTTAAGTTACTAGACTGACCATTTTCGAGTTTGTTTAGGAAAAATTGAGTAAAATGCACTCGACCCTCTCGAAGCTCGCCCACAACGGAACAATGTCCGGTCTGGAATCTTCGGGATCACTCGGAAATACTCTTTAAGACCGTACAATCGTTACACATGCAATTTGGCATTCACTGAATATTTGTGTTGCCTGTGCTTCTCAATGAGGCAATACTTTTTGGATTTGGTCTTTTTGCCGGCTGTTACTTGATTTATACAACGTATGAATGGGTCCAACACAAGGTGGCCACCGATCTCGATTTTCACAGAACTTTTATTTAGTAATGTTTATATATGTTATAATATTTATATAATAGGCGTACGTCAGCAGCTGTACACTCTTATAGAAGATTGTACCTTTTTTATTCAGTTGTTCACGTTTGCTATCGAACGGCTCAGGCAGGTCCTTTCCGATCCTGACGGAGCTCTTGCTGTTGCTCAAAGTCAGAATAGCGGCGTAGAGGCAGCTACTTTTCGTGTTGTCGAACTTTTAAGTCCAAGAGGTGGTGTGGGTTGATCCATTTTTCATGCGGCTTTTCCAAGATTTTCACACATAACGCTTGATAGGACCTCATATGCGATATTAAGGAGCCTTATTTGGCAAACTTTGGGATCGTCCTTTTTATTGTTTGAACAGTGCACACTGAGGTTATAATCGTCGGGCATGCATCACGCCTTTCCAAAAGTCAAAATCTGTTTTTGGTGTGCTCTGTGGTCAAAAGGAATAATTGGTCCATATTTCTACAAAAATTAAGCCGGCCATAATTCCCCATTGACTGTAGGAGTGCTATAGTCAGATGATTAATGAATTGAAGGATGTTGATGTGGACGACCTTTGCTACCAACAAGACGGCGCTACATGCCATATGACCGACTTTTATCTCGCATCGTGGGCCTGTGGAGTTGATTTAACGCCGCTGGACTATTTTTGATTAGGTTATGTGAAGTCGCTTGCCTAATTGCACAAGTGCCTATAGTAGTAGATTTAACAGTATTTTATTTGAGTGGCCTGCCCAATCTGTTCGAAAATGTATTTGAAGCGAAAATTAAGATACTTTTGTACATGTGAATACTCTAGCACACATACATACATATGTTTGTACTATATAAATTTGAATCTGAACTTAAGATTTTTAAAGAGGTTTACTAAATGATTTAAAATATTAAAAAATATGAAAATTCACATATTCGTATACAACTTGTATGAAATCATAATTTCTGATTAAAAAAAAAATGAAAAAGCGTTGACAGTAAATTGCGAATGTATACGTTTATGGAACAATGAAGTAATGCCAATATCAACGAGGATGACGATGTGAACAAAAAAAAAAATATGAATAAAGAAGCAAATAAAAAATAATTAACGGTAGTGGCAACATTATGAAAACTGGTCGATTAAATGGACGGATTGTACGAGTAGCGGTACACATCGAGGGCAATGCTAAGTTCAAGGGCAGTAAGTCATGCGGCCAAACTTTGAGCGATTGAGAGCTAGAACATAAATGTGTATAGACATGTATTTGCATCTGTGCCAGAATCGCACATTATTTGAACCTTGCAGCCAGTTTGCAACTCCAAAGCGCTATATCGGCGTACTCATTAATGTGGACCAAAAAAGAAACTCACATTTGAAGTGCGAAAATTAAGAAATGAAACTGATAATATTGCCTCGATTGTGGTAATTCTGCGACCTTTAAAGTAACTTTCCCTTCTTCCGGCGTCCTTCTCTTCGTTCTGTTCGTGGTGCTCGTCACGAAAATGGAAAAACCAAATCAAAGGCGAAACAGCTTCGGAAATGTACGCTAAAATTGTATAGATGAGAACTGGTTTTTTTCAATACGACCCGGAAACCAGACGCCAAAACTCGAAAAAAGATCGCTCGGTTATTGCCTTTTTTGATAGCCGTGGAATAGTCCATAAAAAATTTCTTCCACCGTATATCAAGTCTACTATCGCTAAGTACTCGAAATATTGCGAAAACGAGCCAACAGTGTTGGCCCAGACATCGCTCAAAACTGGATCCTTCATCATGACAAAGCGCCGTGCTACACCGCCCTCAGCGTGTCCCAGTATTTGACCTCTAAAGAGATTGCCCGTGTTGCAACAACCGCCTTATCCGCCCGATATGCCACCCTGTGACTTTGTTTTATTCCCTGGAACAAAATCGGTGGTCAAAGGAACCCATTTTGAGTCGATTGAGGGCATCCAGGCGGCCAAGACGAGGGTACTCGCGGGCATACCAGTCGAAGCGTTCCAAAAATGTTACGAAGCGTGGAAAACGCGCAGGAATAGTTGTATAGCTGCCCAAAGGGACTACTTTGAAGGGGATGGCAGAGTTGTTGAATAATTTGGAAATATACCGTTGTCATGGAATCAATCTCATTACTTAATTGTCACACCTCGTATATTCATAAAGCGAAAAAAAAATTAAAAAAAAAAAAAAAAACGAAAAACAAATACTGCAGAGCCGAAGACTTTATACCTTACAGTAATGACTACATTATTATTATGTCGAACTAATAATAGCCCAGCCAAATTAAACAAAAACAAAAAATGGCTCACACCCAATTGTAAGTTGGACGGATGGTTCAAAATCTTATAAATTAAATATAAAATGTACTCAGAAAAGAATTATGCGGGATCAATGTATGAAATTCTTGAACTGAGACACAGCTAACCATACCAAAAGCTGCCATTTCAGCCTGAAATATACTACATATATGTAGACCAAAAGCGAGCTCAAAAGGTGGTTCTCTTGAGAAGAAACCTCCTGCAAGTCTTCCATCATGTATCCATCAGTATATCTATACCTCCGTACTGACGATTGAGGTATCGAAGTTATTGCACCACATACTGGATACGCGTTATATAATTATTAATAGTAGCAAAAGTTGAGCAGTAGCGGTCTATTTTGCTTCATATGAAATTATATCTTTCAAAGATTGCAGAGTCCAAAACGTTGAATATTCTACTTAATTTGCATTGCCGAGCTTATTTGAGTGAACACAAAGTCCAGATTGGTTAGACCAGTTAGATATGCTCCGGAGAGTCCCCATCTTCAAGCCCCATAGTGTTTGTGGAAACTTACCCCTATAAGCTATGGCAATGTCATTGGCGTGTGCAATTATTTTAGCTCACTCTCTGTCAGTTCCTGTCAGAAGCGAGTTAATCGTTGGATTCCATACGATGGGATATATGACGCCACCTTGAACTGTTCTTCCGCTCACGTAAGGGAATAGCTGATATCCTCCCCCGGTCGCAGTTACAGTTCTACATAGAAGTAGGCGATAGCTATTAACTGATCTTCAATCTTCAATTTTTGTCTGAATACCATTACCAGGTATTGGATCGCTGAGATCTTTTTAGATTTAATTTATGATAGAATTTGGAACCATCCTACCAACTTTGAATTGGATGCGAATAATTGTACCTTCGGATGTATAAATTGACCGGACTATTGATATACATATGACAAATAAAAATGTAATACTGCAGTGAGTGTCACTCATAATGGCCCATCTAAGAACAGTTTAAAATCGTGTTAAAAAAAAACAAAGCTCAGTTTTTCTTTGTTTATAAACTTTTAGACAATAGCAGAGTTGTTGTTCTATATTTACGGAAAATAAAAGGGTTAAACATTGAATTATATGAGCCACATGAAATGACCCACTTAATATTTAAGTTTAAGAAAATACAAATAACATTCTTTGCGGAGGTGTTTTCAAGGGGCACACCTAGCGCGAAATTAAAAAAAAAA